GTGAAAATCGTTTAAAAATCAATTTAAATAAATGCACATTTGAATTCAATTGAAACCAAAGCTTATTTGCAAACATAGAGTAAAGTATCGATTTAATGAATCATCGCCCACATACCTTTTCTATAATCAGATGCAAATTTAAAACTTCTTGAATAAATTATCTGAACGTTCTTTTGAATTTGGTTTCTACTGAGAAAGTGCAAGTAATGCAGATTTTCAACTTCATGACCGACTCTGTTATAATTCAAACCAAAGAAAATGAAATTATTGAAGCAGAATTAATGAAGTTGATGAAAATTTCAAAACTAATTCATCATCACATGACAACAGACGCATGAAAACGTGTAATTGTCAGCAAATGATTTCGTTTTCTTGCCTCTTCAGTCTCTAATTTCTTCAACGTGATTATTTTTTTAAAAAACTCATTGAACAAAGTCATGTTAATGAGAGAAAATGAACCGGATAAACACGTCAACTGTAAAACGATCGCACTCGATTGACCGCATGTTGTTCAATAATTGTGATGACAAATTTCCTACACGCATGCAAATTGTGAAACAACAGCAGATCAGATGTTGTTTAGTTTTCTCAGAAGACAATAAATTTATTTTGCAAGTTTATTATCGATTGAGAGAAAAAGATCTAAATGTCCGGCTTTTAATAATATGTTAACCAAAGTAGATGAAAATGCAGTTTATGAGCCGTATGCATGCAAATAACAACAGAAACAACATCGATGATTGTTGATTTGATCGCGATAGAGTTAAACGCGACTCGATATCTAATTGCATTTACTAGTATATCCTTTTTGAAAACAAAGCTACAAAGCTGTATGTCGATATTACTTTCAGCAACCTTCAAAGCAAACAAAGGCAAAAGTATCGCAATGTTTAGTCTTGAAATGAAATTGTTTAGCTTTTAAATGTTCTCTTTTAAACTTCAATTCAAATTTGATTTCTATGGACTGCGTAGGTTGAGAAATAAAATTATGTTCTCATTCAATTGACAATATCCGATATTTATGCAATTCTTCATACATTCATTCATCCATGAACGCTTCAAATGAATGTTACTTCGTCTAATGAAAACATTCTTCAATACGTCTAATTGAATTAATAGAAACAGTAATTAATTTGTAATGCCAAATAAAGAAAAAATCGATAATAAAAATATAAAATAAATTTCGTCAACATCTTAAATAGCATCGAAATTTATGTATCAGACTAAATTAATGACCTTCACGAATTTCCACCACTTGTGGTCGCAAATATTGAATTTTCAAAATTGTATTATACACGCACCACCCAATTAATATTTCACAATTGACTAGCTAGTCGTTGACCTAAATTCAATATATCGGAAAGAAATATTTATTAAGAATTTGTTATTGGTCAAATAATAATTTACAATGATTTGCGTTTTCGTCGCTACTCGATCAAGATCCGCAAAAGGCAATTAATTATCCTCTCACCTAACAATGACAGAATTAAGAAGTTGAAGTTAACATGAATTGTTTTCATGTCATACCAAACTCATACACACCAAAAGCTCTTTAAAAACTAGTGAATTACCGTTCGTCAAAAATCTGATTTCATGAGATGAAGCGATAAACAATCATATTGGAATATGAGTCATGATTATATTCGACTTCATAAAGAATTTTGTGCAAACACAACAAGGTCGCTTTTGTTTCATTTTTTGATTCATGTTCCCGTATCGATATAAAAAAATTTACAAAGAAAACATTGGGCAAAAAGGGGCGTGAAATTTATTTCAGAGAGATATCCATAAATATCCTTGCAAATATCACTTTTGTTGACTTTAAAAACTTAGAAATGTGGCAGAAACTTTCGTTGAAATGAATGAATGAATGAATGAATGAATGGATGGATGAATGCCAGCAGTGTCTAGCTCGGAAATAAATGATCTAAAATTAATTTGACTGAAACTATTTGTCTAACAGTTTGCATAGCCAAAAAATGAAGAAGAAGAAAGGAAAATGAATTATTTAATAAAAAAAGGTCTTTCGTAGATATCTAAAAATTTGCATTTTTTTCTAATGATTAATTCACATTCAAGTGCGCGGCCACATAACTTGACTGTTATTCGTGTTTAATGCCTCACTGGTCAGTTCAATGATTGCTTTACTTTTTTCACTGCGTAAACTAATACAACCTGGTAATTTTGATTCATGCTGTTTACTTGTTTAGTTGAACGATCTTCAAGCTCAAGTGCTCAATCACTCGAATTTATGAGATATTTTTAAGTAGACGTATTAAAATTATTCTTATATTTCAGGATATTGGAATTCTTTGATAGGAATTTAAGAACAAATTTTTATTCAGAATAAAGAATTTTCTAAGAGTTCTTCAATTCGACCAACACGCAAATGTACACTCAACTGACTTCTTTTGGTCATTCATTAATTCCCTTAATTTTATTGCGGTTAACAGTCCATTTGATCCTAGTTTGACTGCATGTAATTTAACTCAATTAGAAGTAACATAATACGTGAACCAAAAAATGAATAAATCGAGTGTACGACTCATATACCCGGAAGGTAATTAGCGTCAAATTCTCGAGCATATATAAATATGTAATGCTTTAAGACACGGGGATATATTAATTTTTGGATAAAAACACAACGACGAGATTATTTTTGGGACTGGCAATTAATTGAGACACAAAGTCATTCGATCTGCACAAATTTCAATAAGTTCATAAATTCTCATTGTGATTGACCTTCGCTTAGGTGAGTGTTTGACGTGGTTTACATGCGTATTCTCGATAAACTAACCAGAAGCTGATTTAAAAATGCTGTTTAGCTTATTCATGTCATGTTAATTAAGAAATATTGAGATAGTGATTTTCACTATAAACTATTAAAGTTCATAATAATGTCAAGACGTCATAGAAAGGGCGTTTCCCCAATAATAAACTTCAGGTTTGTGCTTTGTTTTTCATGAAGTTTATGAGAGTCGGAAAATTCCTTCTACTCAAAGTTTGAGGACTAAATCATCCTTGGTTTGATAGCTCAAGTTTTACATGAAACAAATTCATACATCTTGAGCTGAAGTTCATTGAATTTCGTATTCTTGTCACGATTCCGGCATATCCATAATAAATATTGTCGAGAAACTTTGTTTAATTAGTGTAACCGTCAGTTGCTGCTCTCATATAAAGAGCTTCGTGGGGATAAGAACGTAATTTTCTTTCACTTCTCGATGATAAAAATAATTTTTTTTGAAAGTAAGGAAAGTTTTCGATCTTTCACTTCTGTTTTGACCTGACCGAAAATGGTTTCGAGAAATTTTTGGTTTTCTCAATCAATTTCTTTTATCTCTTGAATTGTTTTATAGTGGGGTTTTTCTACAGGTTAAGTAACCTTGGTTATGTTTAGCATTCCATGAGTCGTGAAAGCATTCGACATGCTTTTTTATACTTAGTCATCCAAGCTTAAAGTTTTCCTTATCATACGTTTCTTAAGGAAATGGATGAAAGCATAAGCAAATATATTGTGTTTGTATACATACATTTCATAAATCAATACGTGCTTTTGGCAAAGATTAATTACCGTAGATTATATTTGGATAACTGTGAACGTTTATTTTGGATCAGATAAACAATCTTATGATTCACAAAGCATTTTATTTTAATTAATATCTGAAATGATTTAGGCTTGAGATCAAAATCACGTCGCATGAAATGATGGCTAAATGCTTTTGTACAAATAAATGTTAATCCTTTACCACATCATCAACAGCGATGACATTTTTTCAAAATAATTAATTCACTGATGGTAGATCATCAACATTGATAAATTATATCACGAACTGCACAAAAAGAAGTTTAACAGCAAATTAAATAATCGCGATATTTTCTTCTTCTTTTATTATTTTGCAATCGTATAATTCCTTTAAAAGTTTTGTAATAAAATATTTAATTAAAATAATTGGTTTGGAGGGGAGTTTCATGGATATATTTTTTAGAACTTCTCTACGTTCTTTTACATTACATTATATTTCGATAATAAATACTCTCTAAGCATGATACTACTGACACATAAAATTCTCGCCAAACAAGTTTCAGAGCAACTGAACTAAAATGACTTCATTTAGATCATCAAACTCAGATTACTTTCAAAGCGTGTCGTATATAACTTTCCGCAGTAGACGAAGACGTAACGGATTATTAAGCAGATGCTAAGATTTGCAGCGGGAAAAGATGAAGAAAAAAAAATGTTGGAATAACAAGAACTCCCGGCGAGATGATTTTCTTTTGTCGGAGTTTCTCTCTTTTTCGTATTAACCGTAAATAGAAGCTACGCTCAAAGTTGTATCGGGTCAGGTATATTCAGCAGATTAAAAGATACGTTTTTTGAATCAGATTGAGTGAAATTCCAAACTCAAACAGCTGTAACATAAAGCGGGGAAATGTTTCTCTTTTTTTTCGTTTTCAGAGTAACTTAAAGCGAGGAACCAAGCGATGGAGAAAAAAAAGCTTCACTACTGAATGTAAACTCCCCACTACCCAATGCAAAAAAAATCATGTTGCCCCACAACACAGTGCAGATCTCTGTCTGAGGTCTATGCCAACAGAAAAATTTTATAAACCCTCGTCTTCCAATTCACCATTCCAGTCTTTAAAGTTTTGCCGTTGCTACAGTTTCGCATCGAATTTTTCGTTTTCATATTTTGTGTGTTAAATTCTCTTTTAGTCTTTTCGCGTTCATTAAGGTTCGCGACTGGTTATGTGAATTCGAAAAGTTTTTTTACAGTTTGAATTCGTGTGCATTTGAGAGATCAGTCTCATTGCACGTCGAGCCAGCAGAGTGCCAACAAGTGGATTAATAAATCGGTCGGATTATGTTTTCAAGTTTTAATTAGTGTACATTTAACACACTTTTTAATAAGGAAAGGATAATAAAACAAGAGAATAAAGTGTTTAATTAGAAGAAAAGATTTTTAGTGAAAACAATCAATAAAAGAAATTGTTAGAAAATGACCGAGAATAATGGACAGCTAAAATCCTTAGGATTACTTTTATGTTGCTTAGCATTTACTAGTGCGGTTCGTGTTCAAATGCCCGGCAAGATCATAAGAGGTGAGTTAGAGCAAGCTCTTAAGTATGTTATGCGACAATTACGAATTCTTCTGTTGATTGCCTCAAGAAATATAAAAAAGAAATGGAACAAGAGCTTCGTGGAAGCAAAAAATAAAAAGCGATATAACAAAGTGATAAAGAATGTAGAAAAAGTAGCGTAAAACATAAAGAGTGTTGAAAATACATGTGAAAATAGAACAAACAATAAGAAGTGTGTGAAATGATGGTTGAATAACGAAACGACTAAGAAATAAATGCTTTTAAGAAAAAATAACTTAAAGTTGTGAAAAACGACCATTAATCGAATTTAGAAATCGTTTTTACTTTTTAACACCTCAATCTAAACTTATATTAATTGAAACAACGCATGCGATTTAATGGGCAAAATGTTTCTTTTTGAGTTCTGATTTCGCTTTTATAATCATACAGACAAGTCTATGCTAAATTATCATGAGAATTTCGATATCTATTTTTAGTAGTTGTCTTACTCGTTGAAACTAGATTATTGTTGAACGTTTGCGGTTATAAATTATTGTCTTCTAAACAGTACTTATTTATTCATATGCGATATTTAACTCATTTAACTATTGGACTTAATATGTCAAAGTCTAAGATGCTTGCCAACATTCGCCAAGAATGCGCTTGAAATTCAATAATAAGATTGTTGCATAATAATTAAAATGTGGTAAGGGTTAACTAAAGCTAGCACCGCGTTTCTAAACTAAACATTATAGATTATTTTTGCAATAGCTCTTAAGTAGTAGAGACAAGTTTGACATTTTGCAACATGTTTCTATATTCTTTGAGATCGAAAAAGAAAAAAAATAACAAACGAAGTAATAACAAAATATAAACCTTTGCTACATATGTTTGACTTTTTCTTATGTTCATAATATGTACAGAGAACCCAGCACGTTACTCGAAACAGAAAATAAAACGTGATGGAAAACACCTTCATTTCAATTTACCAATCATTATAGCAAATTTTTATATTCTTATTGATATTTTCTGTTGTCTTGCTAATGATATCGATTGTGGGTAAAATTGAACAAATTAAATATTTCCTTTTATTAGATTTTATCTCTTAAATTGATCACACTTTGTTGATTCACGCTTTCGCATTTGAGTTATGGTAGTTCACCAAATGCATTGTCCAAACGCCCGCAATGCCAGAATAATGTGTAACAACAAACGAATAAATATTCATGCGTCTTCAAATTCCATTGTCTTGGCTACGCGATGTATTAAATAATAAAAATATTTCCTTAATTTCAACATATAAATAATTGTTCGCAGCCTTGAGATACTTGTTGGAGAATGATTTTAATGTTCAAACAATGATTTTATTTTTCGTTCCTTGTTTGTCACAGCAGCATCAAACTTTACAGACAAATATCATGATACAATTGTGATATTACAAAAAAAGAACAATAATCAAATTGCAACCTTCAATGAATAAGAGAATTAAAGTTGACCTCCTACTACTTTCCGATACGATTAATTAGTGCTAAGACTATTGATTTGTGCCGATCAAGTTGTTAACCTGGATTCTCTTATCGCCATTATAATACTAATGCAAACTACAATAATTAATAGGAAATTTAGTTTATCGCAGCGATCTATGCTATGGCAGTTATTTTTAATTATAAAGAAAGCGTTATCAACGGCATAAAATTAATCTATTCATTTGATTGCATCTTAATGAATATCTCGTTATGAGTATCTCCATTCAAACTCAATGCAAACGAAGTCAAATTTAGTTCTCCAAAAAATTTATTAAACAAAAAGTAAGAAACAAAAGAGATTTAAAAATGAAAACGAGAGCGATTTACTGTCATTTTCGATTTCTTTCTTTTAGTTTTTTATGGAACTCGTGAAAATCACTCAAATAAAAAAAAGAAATTTAATGCAAAAGCGAGTGAAAAAACACATCAAATTAGTGCACGATTAAAAGTCTCAAAAATTGAAGTTTAACTAAAAGATCAGATATCTCACATCTTTTTCTATTATTCAAAATTTTTCGCGACGAAAGCTCAAACTTTTGCTTTTTCTTTCCGTTTCGATTTTTTTTCTTTAAATTTTCGTTGCGTCTGGAAACTTGAAAAGACGAAAAGTAGACGTTCATGGAAGAAAGAAGTAGAAGAAAGTTTCATCGTTAAACAAACTTAAATAATTGAATGGAAATGCTAATTTTTCATCATCAAAGCAGAACTGCAAGCATGGAGTAGATTTATGGAAACATTTTACTTTCATTAACACTCAATTTGAATTATTTTTCGTTTTCTGACGTAACTTAAGTTATTAAATATTCCGCGAACCTTTCGATGAGAAGGTGGAAATGTTGAGACACACTCCACTAACAATCTAAATTAAGCTGTCAGTAAAGTTTCCACTTTTTCAACTTGACTTGAAGAATTGCCATCAAAATAAAAACTTTACTTAACTTAATTTCTCTCTTATGCAAATGTCATGCAATTTCTAATTGCAATCATTGCCAATTGTTTATTTTCTTTCTTCTTCCGACCGACTACTCGACGCACATAAACTTGTCAAAGTCCCATTGCTAATCAGCAGTCATTCCAGTTATTTTCTTCAACGAGCGAACAATCCATTCAATAAACATTTTCGTATTGCGCAAAAAAATGCATCAAAGCCATTGAAGCATTTTTTGCATGTTAATTGCAGATGTTGTTGAATGAAGAGAGAAAGAAAAACTTTCAAATGATTTGAAGCTTTAAGATGCAAGTTGCGTTTCGCATACCGCGCAACTAGAAATTTTTCTCGTATTGTGTTGCATGTCTTACGATTTGAAACTTTTCCGTATTCTGAAGGTTTAATTTTCAATAAAATATATCGAACTGCGGTTATAAATCAATATGAGATTAGGTTGTAAAAGTAATCATTCTAGCTTGTTGAAAGCTTAATGTGTGAAGAAAGCATAAATATAATGAAATTACGAAATAACATAAATTCATGTAACATTCATAATCATTTAAATTACATCAATTTTGAGTTATGCTCTGATCGATATATAGAAAACATCGTTCAACTGTTTCTTTTAACTCAGCTTATATTTAATGCACTCTTAGCTTAATATGTGTGTTATAATTTAATTACATCTAAATATGATTTCTGGTACATAGATTCGAGGTCTGACTGACAAGGTAACATACTGAAAAGCGTACATGTTTTTTTTATTCAATTCTTCCTCTTGTTTTACACGTTTCGATTGCTTCGGAAAACACGATATTCAATCAAAAGAATAATAAACATTGTCTGCATCAGTTTAAAACATAAACATACGAAAATGTATCGAGAGCAGAATGAAATATGCTTTCACTTTCGAGAAAGAAAAAAATATTTTTGTTTCGTCGATGGCGCAAGCAAAAGTAACAGCAAAAAGTTGAAACAATTTTTGTGAGCTTAAGAGCCTCCCACTGTCACACAATAAGTTGAATAAATATACAGAAACACGGGCGAAAAACTGAGCAGCTTGTCTTAATTTATTTTTAAGTTTTATTGTTGTCTTTTTTCTTTCTTGTAATAAATCTCCATGTAACGGCAAATGTGACACTTTCGGGTAACTTTCTAGAGCACGATCTTGCCGAATTCAGACATCGGTTTGCAATTTTGAAATGCAAACCTTTCAATAAAGTCATTTCTTCTTGATTGATACCGTTTAATTAATGAAGTTTCTTTAAATTTCCTTTTATTTGACAACGTTTCACATTTCACTTTTAAGTGAATCACAGTCAGAGACGGGTAATGGGAATTTCCCTGTAAAATTCCCGTGGCAATACTCTGAACGACAAAATATTAATGAAAATCCCCTTTTACCCATCTCTGATTCACAAATGACATCATTCTAGACAGTTGTCTCTAAACATTTATTTTCTCTGAACTTACATAATTAAAGTCATTCGCATCTTTACTAGGAAATTGAAATTAGATAATTGGTGATGTAAGAAGTTGAAGAATAAAGTTATATACAATGTATGGTGAAGTGGAATCACGTTTCATATGATTCAATGTTAGCATCAAGAAGAAATCGATGGAAGAATTTTTATTAACTAGACACATTCATGATCAGTGGCACGTTACACCTGAGAGCTTAGATGTAATCATAATAATGAATTTCACACTCTTGAACTACTTAGACTCAACTTTTTTTCAATTTATAAAATTGGTTGCGCGAGTCTTTTCTAATAAACATGTTTAAAAACATTCACGATTTATGAAAAAAAGAATTGCCTTACCATTGAATGAAACATCGTGTTGATATAAAAAATAAAAATGTAATTAACAGTGCCATTTCAGAATGTTTTTCCTTTTTCATAAATATTAAATTGACCTGAGAAAAGTTGAAACGTTTACTGTTCATTATTTTTATTCTCAATCGCCTATCCTGGTTAATCCATTAGAAACCAAGAAAATAATTTTTTTTGAGGTTGGGAAGAGAATGTCAGCTGTGTTGTGATATTTATTGAAATATTATTAATTACTTTAACATACAGTTGGTGAAAAACACCAACTATTAAATGTTTGCCCATAAAAAGTTGTTGCATTTGCTGCACTAGTTGATAAAATCGTTAAGACGTTGATCTTGCACTACGTGACATTAAAACATTACATTCATAGCCTTAGGCTTAAAAATTTCTTTCCACTATCTATCCTTAATTCACTGTGAAGTTCGAACGGCTGCTAGTGTTTTTTAAGCGGCTTGCTTAACACTAATCTTTCCGAACATACAATGAAATTATCGCAGAGTTTCAATCAAAATATTTTTTTAATGTTTGCTTATTTAATGCTTTGAAATTCTGATCTAGATTAAAATTGTTATTTTTTCTGTCGTGTGATGTGCAATTATTTAATTAAAAGCCCCATGAATTTCATATTGTATTTGATATGAAATGATTTCACACAAAAATAGAAAATTTGCAATCAAAATCCAATCAAAAGAATTTTAGTCATAAGAAATTTTCAATTTAAAATCGATTGAAATCACGTTCACGTACAAATCAAATATTAAGAATTGACTAATGTGGTAAAAGAAAAAAATAACCAAGCAATCAGGAAAAAGTGAAACGATTTTTTTATCATTGAATTGTTCAATCTGTGGGTTTTCAACGCTGCATTGGCGTTTCTGATTGCATTAACGTACTGTTTATTGCATCATGACTATTATACCGTTTACCATATGATTTACTATTTCAAGGACAAATCGCAATTCGCAAACAAGCGAAATATTTATTGCATGCCTTCAACTGTGGCGATATACAAATTTTTCTCTCCCATTTCATGTGTGACTCGTGTGATCCAAAAAGGTTGCGAAAAGTCTGATTAAATGTTTCTGCTGTGAGCTACACATTACTTATTATTGTCATGCAAATCTCTTGAAAGTTTCATAAATGAGCGTTGAGCCCTTCAACTTCAACATCGCTTTCATTCATTCTTTAGTCAATCTGTCCGATTCACTTGAGACGTCCTCCAACTGAAATGTTATGCTTCACCTCCTATGCTGCATATATGTTTAATAATTAAATATCAGCGATAAATGAATGAATGCTGTCCATATCGAGCTTACACCAAAACTAAAAATCTTAAATTAAGAGCAGAAATGAAATGGGTCAAAGTCATTGACATAGCACAATGAAAAAACAGAAAAAATAATTATTGCAAATCACTTTTAAATATTTCATATTAATTAGATTAAAGTGGAGAATAAGACACGAAAAATAAAACCAAATTGAAGTAAATTGCATTTCTATGTTCTTTTAATTTTATTTCATAATTTATATCGTTCGCTTTTTTTGTATCGAGTGTCGATTTAAAATAAAGCTTTTTATTGAAGGAAAAATCAGATTGTTGAGCATATATCTGACAAGTAAAGGGGAAAAAAGATTATTTATTATGTATTTGAACAAAGGCAACAGCTTTGTTATAAATAGTAATTGACCATACCACGTTTGTTATGTTATTAACATGAGATTTCATAGGACGTTCATAGAAATTATTTATTGTTCCAATACGTATCTACGTATTTATGGAATTGTACCTTTTCGGCATGCTTCTCATTTAAGAATTCTCATAATTAAGATTATCTGCGGTTGGGTCGTTAAGATACAAACTTCTGTAACAAATTTCAAATATGCATGAATCAATTACTTGATGTTGTAATGAAATTAATAAAATGTTGAACTTGATCTAAAATTGCGAGAAATTTTAAATGTTACGACTTATCCACTTGTATGTTTTTAATGCTTTTGTCTACCTAATTCATCAATAAACTGTGGCTTTGGTATGCTTAATTGCTTTACATAAGACTTTTATTTGCTTTTATGTTTTTTTTTCTTTCTTCAAATTTCAATTATTTAAATCATTTCAAAATTTTTATAAGCCAAAAAAATCCTTTTTATGTGCTACATCTAAAGTCGATACTCTTAGCAACCGGGCTTACCATTGTAAGCTGATTTAAGATCATAAAAACATTTAATTAGATTTCCAGACATAATTAAACACGTTTTATTCGAATTTACATAAATATGCAACGGGATCGAATAGAAGGACGAGTTTTCAACTTCATAAACTTGATATTGATTTGTGTCAAGGTTTCCTAACATTAGACTGGTCGAGAAAAGCTTTCGTCATGCAAACCTACACCGAGAAAGCATAGCGGTCACTTAAAATGTCTTTCTAAAGCAACTCAAGTTGAAATGGAAAGATAAACGCAACAACTTTTTACTTTGTAAATTACGAGAGTATAACAAACGGATATGCATGTTGTTATTGCTTTCAGTATGCAACAAAGTCTTTCACTTAATAAGTCGTGTCTCCCTGTTGATGGTGATGATGATACATTCATGTCACGTATGTCAACCTATAAAGAAAAATTTATGATGTTGGATGAAAGTAGAGCAAGACATACAAATGGTTCATCAAATGTAGTTTTATGCAATTTTCACAATAAAATATATCTTTAGTCAGATGATCAAAGAATGATTTCAAAATTTATGGTTGTAAATTCAAATGTTACTGCAGCACAAGTCTGTAATCTGAAAGCTAATTTTTCTCTTATTTATATTCCTTATTCACTAATGATGCAATAGAGAACACTTGGTGGTAATCGAAAAAAAGATTTATTCTAAAGAGCGTTTAAGGTGCATAATTGAAGCCGCTGTTTGTGGAATAAAACATTTTTAATGTAAATATTCACTAACTGAGAAATATTTTTTATTCAAGTTTCACCGACAGATGAAAAGAAAACCATAAAATGCAAGTCTCCATTCACAAGCATAATGATGAAAAATCTACTCGGTGCTTTTAGTTTTTCATAAAATGGAAAAATGGGAAAATAATTAGACAAGTAAGATAGGAAAAAGAACTAACTGGAGGTGTGGTACAAGAGAGCCACTTTGCACTTAAACGTTCTTTATTACTCCAAGCTTTTAAAGTGTTAAAGATCTGTTAAAGTATTTCATCATATCTGAACAAATTCTTTTAAGATTTTCTGGCAATTCTAACATGTTAAAGTAAAGTAACTGAAGCTTAATGAAATCAGGTTCCTGAATCGTTATTTCACTGTTAGGTTTATGCGCATAATTGTCACTTACGCGAATTTGAAACGAGCTTCTAAATGATGTGAAATGCAATGACCTGAGGAGCGGAAAATGACAAAATGAAACATGAGAATGATAAAATTATAGTGAGCTCGTTTTCACAGTAATTACTTTTGTTACCGTCCTCAACATCGCATCTAGTGCAAGTTTCAAACATCTTTTTTTCAACCAAAAATAATGAATTGTTGGACTTCAACCAATTACCGTAGCTTCATTGTGTTAGTTGTTGGTGGAAGACGATCTGATGTGACAACTGAATGAATCATATTTGACAACTTACCGCTTTACTTTGTAAAACAGAATATCCACTTATACAATTTTCACTTGCTTAAGCTCAATAATAATCGTTTTGTCGCTGTCGAAAAGAAAAAGGTTTAAAGCCTTGAATAAAGTTAAGAGAAATATTTGTCAACCGAAAATCATGTGTCAAAATAATTTTGACTTTTAAGAGGCGTCAATTGAAATAAAATCGCTTCGTTGACATATCGAGAAATTATTTTGATTACAAATTATATTAATTTGCGTTAAATTTTTGCATGTTCATTTTCAACACATTTTTATGTGTCACAACTTATCATGAAACTTGAGAAATCTTTAAAATCAACATGTGAAAAATATTTTTTTGTTTTGGCAACATTGCAATGCTACTTAGTGTCTTAGGTTAAGCTTTACCTTCTGCAAATTAACTCAGTCATGTTATAGACTATGTGACTAGCAACTTCAATCATTGACCAATCAAAATGACGTCAAATCCATTGCACAATCCATAAAAGAAGTTCAATGTAACCTGAAACTGTCAATTACTTTTCCGAAATATAAATATTTTCCTTTGATTCAATCGCACTGACATTTCTTTCTTGTTTCTTTTTTTTCTAGGTAAGAATGAAAATGACATTTACATGAAGTATGAAATAACTCTTTGAAAAAAAGTCCGAAACTCAAGTCTTAATCCTCGTCACGTAAGCACAAAACATTTATCAACAAACCAAATCTTAAAAAACGTATCAGCAAAAGGAGAAATTTGATCTGGTTTGTCCTACATTAAATATATTTATCAACATTGATTAAATCTTCTCGTTTTATATTGTCGTTGTAACACGCTTGTAGAAAGTATCGCGTAATTTATTGTCAAAAAATGAGAGTCATACTGATTTCAATCATTTTTCTGTTTGAATTAAATTTCCTTTTGATTTAATAATTTAATGTCCGCTATGTTATCAATCTTAATCCACACATAACGAATCGAATAACAAGTTTCTTGAACTTGCGATGAACGAATTTAAGGCGACAGTTTTATCATGAATCGTGTTGAGGAATTCAACAAACAACTTTTGTTACTTTCGCTCCAAATTATATGACGCGACCGCGAAAATCCATTGAATGAGCGATCAAGTTTTCTTCGCTGGTTTTTACCATCACCGTGTTGGCAGACAACGGGATTTAGCTGCTTAATTCATGCAGTGAGATTTCTGTTAATTAATCTCACGTTTAACATTAATTTAACAGTTTGCTGGTTTGTTTGTTTCACCCCAGCAGTCAATGTTATGTTATCTCTGCACCGCTATATACATAAAGTAATTAAGTAATAAAGCATACACAAAAACCAGAACACAGACGTAAATTTAAGATCTTAATTCCAAGTTTACAGTTCAGTGAATTTGTCTGATCGCTTTGTGAAGCTTAACAACATGCCAACCTCTTTTTCATCACTTTCTTTGGTCAAATATGTGCACGTCTCAATAAAAAGCAAATTCCCTTTTTCTTTCTACTAAATATTGTGTAATATGTTGTCTGTTAATCGTAACAATATTTATGATACTTGTTTCTTATTTGATCTCTTTTCTCATTGTCGAACAGCATAAAAGAAAAACAATCAAAATTATCTAAAAAGACCTGTCGAATAATCGAAAACAAACATGTCAGGTCAAATGAAGGAAAATGAAAGTCAAACGATTGAATCGGTTTTGAATGGATCAAATATTAATAACAGAAAAATTTCGAATTAAGAAATCCAATTATTTTGATCGGACGTTAAGTTTCTTTACGAGTTTTCAAAAAAAGAAAGAAAACAAAAATGATTAAAGGTTGTGAAAAAGAAATGAGAGATTTTGATTGCAAACAAAAATGTTTAAAGTACAATTTAAAATCATTCAAACCTAAACATCGTCAGGATGTTTAATATGATGATCGCGTACTTGGTATATGATTATGAACATTGCGTTTTAATTTCTTCTTCCGTCTCTTATTGCCATCATTTTAAAGATGTTAGCAGCGTTTATGTATATTTATTGGCAAGCAGACACACAAGCAATTTTCAACAACTGTTGGTAATTTGTGAAATTGTAGAAAGTTTTTCTTTTCATACTTTTTCTCTTCAATTTAAAACCTGAGTCAAATGATTCAATAACTTGTTGCCGTATCATCCGGAAAAATATGAAGCGATTGTTTGTTTGTTAAGTTTGTGAAACAGAAATCAAATTTAACTCATACAATAAAGTTTCTTGAGTATGAAATCAACATGTGAAGCCACAAGTGAATGCTACTGAAAACGAAAACATTTCATCACTGCATAACATAGAGGCAAAGGCGCATAATGCAAAAGCAACCACAAAATGTTCTCATTGCAAAACACGAAGAAATCTCATTCATAAATCTAGCATAAATTTGCATTATGTATTCCTTTTCTTTCTATGTACATACATACATCTGAATACATAAACCAAAAGAAACGACTTGGTTCGAGAAATATTTACATTAATTCAAGTGGCTCATGCTCAACATTTAACTACAGAAATATTTCATTTCTGCACTCTAATGCTTTTAGTGATGTTGATTCTCCCTCAGAAGTTATTTGTTTCTCACGGCAATTTGCTAATATATTTTGAATTGTCTTTGCTATTTTATTTCTAAGCGCATTTGTTAAATTTTTCCTTCAGCAAAAGCTCATTTCAAAATTTAAAAGATGACGATATTAACAAAAAACTTATGCAATGCTTTTCGCAACAACTAAACCTGACGTCAAGTTTAATATAATTTGTTCTCTACTCAAATTTCCGCAGAGAGAAGACTAAAACCATCAAGTACTTAATCAAATTTATGGAGTAATTTTTCACAATTTTCCTGACGTGCTTGACAGTCAATCTGTCTAGAAATGGTTTAAACATTTAATCAACATATTTTCTTATCTAAAATTTAATATGACTTTGCTCATTCATCAAAAATTTAACTGATTTCTTAAATAAAAGTAAAGTTTCCATTGCTGCTAGCAATTTTTTCGGCACACATTTTTTATTCATTCACATTTGTCCTAGACCTTGACAACTGAATAAAACTTTCACGAAAAATTCCGTCAACCGAAGAATTCAAGTTTCATGTGCTAATTACCATACAAAAGAACTGCACCGTTTCAATATCAAATGTCAAGTCAACTCTCCTAATGACAGAAAATGGGAGGAATGTTAAAATAATTAAATTAATTACTCATTTTGTCAAGAGAAACATAAAAGTTTGCATGAGACGGAAACACATTAAAAATCTTAAAAATGTACTTTCAATTTGTAAGCTACACTAGATTCCGTGAAAGTAAAGCTATTAATTAATTAATTTCAAAAAAGTCATCATAAATCATGAGTTATAGTTATAATAGAAGTAAACATTTTTTTATTATTAACAGGAAAGCTTTTAATTACAACATTAAAAGAATTTTATTTCTAATAAATGACTTACTTACTCAAGGCTTTCAAAGTTTCTTTCTTTTCTTTAATTTGAACTTGACGATTATTAAAAGCACTTTTAATATGGTTTTACACATAAAACTATTTAAAGACTTAGTTAATTGTGTCGGCATTATTTGAGATTTAGTTTAAGATCGTAAATAGGAGAATTAAAAAAAAAGTTGAAACTCGTTCATCAACATTGACAATTTTATTTCCATCTCAATTCGTTCCAACGTCATGTTCTTAATAATTGATTTGTAATCCATGAGTTTGAATGTTTATTGTGAAGAGAGAAAGAGCGAGAGAACTTATCAACATGACAATAAAACTTGATCGACAACCAATCTAAATTTACGAGAACGATGCATTTAAATATTGATTACTTTAATTCAAAAACATCTCACTATACATACTCGATGATCGAGCAAGGAGTGAAAATATTTTGTTATCTTTAAGCTTGTATAAAAAGTTTGTTTACATACTTAACACTTTAATGTTATGTTTACAATTTTGCATCTGTTTGTTGTAACTAAAATTGCAAGATGGAAAAAGGAAAAGGAAATTAAAAATGCATTTGCACTGAATCCGAAGCACCGCTGGAGAAATTTCTTTCACTTTAAACTTCATTGCAAAATAACAAATAAAATAAAAGCTTTCAGAGGCAAAAATGCTGTTGAAGAAACAAAACAATTTCATCACGTCAGAAAAACATCGTTGCATACACGCAGTCGGAGATTTTAGCATTACGCATTTTAATAAGTTGACTGTTACTGCCACTGAAATGGAATTAATTGTTTCTCGAAGTTATTGTGAACGCTGAAAAGTACTTTTACCTACTTGAGAAAAGATTTCCCCCGCCGATATGCACGGGGACGGATTTGGCACCAGTGTTATAGTCGTTAAAATATTACAAATTTCACTTTATATTTAAGGCTTCCGTCTCAACATTTGCTTTCTTGCTTAATCGGAAGCCTAAATATTTTCATTTTAATGAGATACTCTTGATATATTATCCATAGCGATTTTTTTATTAATTCGAGAACTCTGTTGATTTCACTCGAAGAAACATAAAACAACAATCTTGTTTCCATGAATTTTGTTTTGCTTTATTCGAATCTTTAACGTTAATTTAGTCAGTGAAATTTGTAAACTCTTTTAAAATAAAAATGTTGGTAAGGATTTTGTTACTTTTCCAGTTTTTACGTAATTTCAATAAACAACAAAGGATTAAAGCGTTTAAATGGGACTTCAGTAGAAGCAACAAGTCCTTGGTTGCATGGAATGAATCATGAATATTCATTTCCATTACTGATGTATGTATTAGTCGAGCTCAATTTATGACTTAATTAAAACAAAATCAATAAACAATTATTACTCACAAAACTTCGTATTGGGTGGCACTTTGCCAGAAGCCGAGAAGATAAAATGACTGAAATGAATAAATTACGGTTTGGGCCACTGACAAACCAATTGAAACTTCAGTGAGAATCTGAAAACGCTTGTTGCTTGTTAAGTAAGCAACATTGTCTCGTGCCATGGGGAATCAATGAATCATAATGCCAAATATTTTACACTTACGCACTTTTCGATCATTAATATTCATCACACATAATTTTGTGAAGCATGCGGAAGCTCACACAGTCTCTTGTTCATATTATTCTAATAAATACAATGAACTTTTCAAGCCTAAATGTGAAATTTTCCGAACAATAACTTTTCACAATATGCCTTCTACGCATTTTTTCCGAAAAAGGTTTCATTATAAAGTTTTTCATAATTTTGAGGATACAAACAAATCAAAGGTCGGGAAAAACAAGGAAAATGTCTACGACAAAAATGTTCTGTAACAAAAGAGAATTGTTAGTGATGAAAATTATTTTCACCTTCGCTTCAAGCAATAACAAAAGTTTTTCATGCTCCTGGGTGGAGTCAAACGTTATAAATCACGATGCGACTTGTCTTTCTCTTTCACTTTCATACATTTTGCTCGAAAGTCGCAACGTGAATTTAGAACACATGATGATCGTAATCTTAATGTTACACAAGTCTGGTGTAAAAATATTGTCATCGCCGACAATGAATAAAAAAACTTTTTCAATCCTTCTTTGTAGTCTTTTGTTACCGTCACTCGTATTACAATTTTTGTTTTCATTGTTAAATACCGAGAAGAAGTTCTTGTTACTGTGACTTATTGGGTTTTCCACTGAGCAATGAATTTATATTTTCGAGTGTAACTTTAAGCTGTAATATTTGTTGGAAAATAATGTAAACAAGGTAAGATTTAACTTGCTTAGGATAACGCTTAAGATGTAAAAATCTACAAAGAGAGTTTGCAGTAAACGAAAGAATAACAGAAGAAGAATCTCTGAAGATTTATAATTTAAAAAGTCACGATTTATATGACGTTGGGTGGATGTTCTCTGAGTTTATACAATTTTTGCTTCCATTGCAACATTTTAACAAAAATATATAAAGCGTGTTTACAAAGATTTGCGAGATAACAAAAGAATTGAACATGCACTTGAGAATGTTATGTTGTCTGTAAAATCATTTTACATAATAAACATTACTTATGTAACGTTGTAGCTTTAGAAAGAACCAGACATAATTCACACGATATAAAATCGAGTTAAGTTGTTAAGATAATAACAAAAAATTCGTTAAAATTAATGAGAGCGAGTATTGACATGTAACTTTCGCTTGGTATCAGAAAAATAATAAAAACAAAGAATTCTCATATAACAAAACCATTAAAAAAGTTTCAACTTTCCTGGCCTTTCTGAAATTACATTCACCCCAATGCAATTTCCCTACCACTTGCAATAACCAGAATAGTGCCAAAAATATTTTCTCCTTTGACATTCCATTGTCGTTACTACATCATTAATTTAATTTAAATTTTTCTTATGCAATCAAACCGCAATCTAGAAATAAACTTTTTTTTAATGTAGACACAAATAAATATCCCGACATGAAAGAAAATGCAATGAAAATCATTTTGACCTAGAAAACTTATAAAGCAAGTAGAGCAGAAATTCTAGAAAAATTGAACAATCAGAATTGGTTTTAATGGTCGACAACAATTTCACCAATTGTCGTGTTCACACTTCTCATGTCATTTATAAGCGAAAGCCGACAACAGAAGTACGTATTTATAGGAATTACTGGTTGGTTAAGCTGGAAATAACATCCCATCGTGAGATACGATGTCCAGCTGAGTTATCCGAAAAATTCTTTGTAAATGCCGATGTTAAATTACGTGCTGAGATTTATCCGGTGGACCTTAAGAGTTTTTTATAACACAAGTAGCCGACCATGTGTAATTGAACATGAGAAGCAGTGGTTGATGAATTAATTCTTGCAACTTTTAAACTTCTTATTTGCTTCATTAAATGTATATCAAAAATGTTTAATTAACGATCCATGACAGCGACACAAAGAAATCAAATTTATTGTTGCGGATCTTTTTGATTCGATATAACACCTGAAGTGAAAAAGTTTCCAATAGGAAATGTGACCATTCAATGTCATATCGATTAAAAAAATAAAAGCAATCAATTAATTATGAAATGGACTTTCGATTTCGATTCGCTTTTATTTATTATTACGCTATGTCATGGAATTGCGTGAATATTTTCTCTCAGTTTATTTCTCAATACATCTAAAACAAGTTTACTTATAATCGAAAGTCAAGTGCACCGTTATTATCAGGTTTTTGATCAAGCAGAAAGAGAGAACAAGACAAGGCGGTTTAATGGATAAAAAATGCTGATTCAAGGTTTTCATGTAATGAAAGTTAAAACATTGAGTGAGAAAAATGATGAATTGGAATCACATTTGTGGCACACGCATGAAAGCCTTTATTTTCAATCATCATGCTCATGAGGGAGTTGTGGTGATATGTGCAAACCTCAAGTCAAATACAAAGGTAGGGAACGAAAAGAAAATCGACCAAGATTGGAACATTAAACATATTTATGCTTCATTATCGATCGTACATGTATGCATCATAAATCAAGCTTCCAATTTAAAAACATTCAATTATTGCGTGAAGAAAGCATTATTTTTCTTTCCTCCCATAATTTATGCGATGATAATTAAAATTGGAACTAATTAAAAGAGAAATGGTTGCAAAAAATTGTTATATGAAATGTAAATTTATGGCTGTGATCTGTTTTCTGATATGTTAAGGCTGTTCCACGCCTAAATTGGGCATGTCGGCAATGTAAACTTCAACTTATTACGATTGTTATGTATGATGACTGCTCATGTTTGTCATCCTCGTCAAAACTTGAAGACAGATGAAATGTTTGCCGTTTCGAAGTGTTGACAAACGAGTTTTGTGAAAATTTAATTTAATTGAGAAGCGATGAAGTGCCATCGTCTTCATTTACTTATATTCGCTAAGATAACATTTGATAAAGTGTTAAGACTTCTTCTTAAGAGAAATGAAATATTTGTTAAGTATGTGCCATATATCATTGGCGAGCATATTTCACTGTTATCTTTATTTGATACAAACACCCCAAGATTAGTTATCTGAAAAACTTTTAACAAGATCTCACACATGATATGTGACAAATTCGCTACTTTCAAGGGAATCTAATGCGACATGTCAAGGAAAAAAGACTCAGTAACAATGTTAACTTTTTAAAATTATCGACAAGGAAGCCTTGTTGGCACTTTGTAGAAGGTTTTCTTCAGAGAGTAACAAGTTGTTCATCTCTGACAGAAGATAATAATGTATCGCAAATTGAAACAATTAGCTTTCGTAATTTTTCCGAGATCACAGTGATTATCGAAAATCATCTTTCCGCGCAATTATCTGATGATTATCGTAGCAATCTTCGTAGCGCGATAAAAGCTTTTAACTGCACAAATTAAGATATTATTGAAATTGCAATGATCGTTAACTGTTTAAGTTATCTCTCAAGTCTCTTTATGTGAAATTGTTCAAAGAAAGTTTACAAGCAGTTATTGAGTAACTGAACTGAACTAAAAATATTTATTATCTTGAACTCCGTGGAAAATTATCTAAGTTTAAGTTTCGCGAAGAAAACAATTTCGTGCAAAAAAAAAGTTAAATTTTGTTTCTGAAAAATATCTTTTATGTACTCAGGTTGGTCAACAATAAAAATTCCTTCATAATGAATCACGTAATGAATCTCACCAACTATTCTTATCTTTGTTTTTAAGATTTTCGAAAGTAAAATTTGTAGTGATAAATTCGCAACTTATAATTAAGTATCTGTTCAAATTAATTTAGTGGCTTGAACACTTCATGGAACGAATTTATAAGCAAAAAACTATCTACCAACAATAACGCTGCGAAGCTTGTTAACTTTGAAACTTTTAATGCCTACTCAGTATCTACCGCATATGTTTGTATAGTAAGTATCGTAATAGATGTTCTTTAATTACTTACCAGACGACAAGAAACACAAATAAACATAAAATTAAACTAACTAGATATTACATTTCGAATTTATGAGGGCATGCGAGAGTTTCAGTTTTGAAACTTCTTTCAATATTTGCTTGCCTTTCAATGTTTCGTGTGCAACAATTTTACGGTGAATTTAATTCACTCAAAAAGTGAAAAAGAAAAAAAAATTGAAGTCTAATAAAAAGTGTTCATATCCCTCCTTCAACAGAAGCGAAATTAAAAGTGAGACAGAAACTTAATCTGACTTTTGATTAAATGAGACAGAAACTGAAAGACGATAAAAAAATTACCGGCCCAGCCACAAGAAAAAACTTCGACGTGTAAAAGCTTAACAACTTCTGCAAATAACCTCAATTTGCGAAATGTAATTGAGATATCAGAACGACTGAAGTTGTATCTGTGAGAAGTCCAAAAAAATTAAATTTGTCCTTAAAAGTCTTGGGTGTTTGACAATGACAATAAATTCCGTTTCGAATCTTTTTTGCTTAATGTTTTCCTAACTGTATGTTTTTAGACCTTTTTTCCCATTCTTAATTATACCTTGAATGGCAAAACCTACAAAAGAAAAATTAAAACTTTAAATATTGGCCAGCAGCATGAAATGATTAAAACAATGGAGTTGACTTTCTCGTAAAATTTTAAGTCTTTTAAAGTAGTATCAATGTAATTTGCGTGTGATTTTTGGTCATAATTTCACTGGCGTTAAATGAGTATTTTACTAAATGAAACTAAGTGCAAGTTGAAGAAGTTTAATTTCATACTTAAATTAACCAGTTTTAATGCATTCATTCATTGTTCCCAACAACAAATCTAAAAGCTTTTGGTTGAAATTGTATCAAAAGGAGTTGAAGCAAAACATTAAATGAATTGATTGCATTTGCATGACAAAGTCATTTTAAATGTTACAACACAAAAATATTTTGAAACAATTTTCCACTTCTTTTGTTTTCAATTATCGATTGATCGAGTTAAATTAAATAAAGTTCCGGGAACAGTTTTGTGCTTAAAGCTACTCGAAAAAAATCGACTGAGTTGTAATGAAGGAATGAAAGTTATGTCAAACACATGTTAAATTAAGTAATGGTGATAAAAAATGCACAATAATGTTAATGTTTCGCGTAATAAGTTATCGCAGTTCATAAAAATACCAATGACGGGAAGAAAACAGAAAATGTTCAACAAAATTCGTAAAATTCGAGCAACAATAAAGAAATATCTTTCGTATCATTCGTTTGGTCATTGTGCTTACCCTGAGTATCACCATGTAATGTGCTTACTTAAGTTAATGACAGAGAAAAAGCTTTCCTTATTGATTGCTTTTATGGATTTGGCGATTGCTTGGAAAGTTAAAATTAAAATCGCAATAAAATCAGTCAATGTTGCCGTTCCTTTTAGTGGGTTTCAAGCCTCAAGCCAGACTCACGACCGCAACTTATTACTCTAAAAATTATCTTTCATACATATTCGGAGAATGACTAAGAGCGACAACGTAATCTGAATCAAAAAGAAGACAAATTATTTGAGATAAAAATCAAAGTTCATGACCAACGAGCGAGTCGTTGTTTTTGTCATTTCTATGATGAAAAAAGAAAAATGAATAAACGATGAGTATGAACGAAGTCATAAAATTTGCCATTTAACAGACAGTATGCTTGAAATGTGGGTGAAATTTTTTAAAATGAAATTGTCGTCGTCAACGGCACTTGTTAAAAGAATATTTAAATGTCTTAGCTGCTATCAACAACACAATGCACAGCAATCATTTCAACGTTATCAAATTATCACATGATGAAGAAAGAAAGAGCATTAATACAAATTAAATTCGTAATAAGAATAACAATGGAAATCATCATCGTCTTCACCATACCGACAATAATACTTAAAAGCAAGAAGTGAAAGACTCCATTTTCCCTTCATTATTATTATGAAGATTTCCGTGAAACTAAGAAGCTTTTAGTCTGCTTATTGATGCTAAAGATTCCCTTTCATTGTATTTTTCTACTTATCGTAAACGATATTGACTGCTAAGTATAATTAAGTTTTTTTCCCATCCTCGTTTAAGCATTTCGAGAAAAACAAAATGTCTTCTTAAGTGATTTCAATTCAGATTAGTGAAAAATGCCAACGACAACCGCGTGTTTCATATGGAGAAAAGAAAATCTTGTGGGAATTTTACGAGCAGCAGTGCACGAATGTAAATTTGTTGTGCAATTATCATAGAACGAACTTACCATAAATTCAGATTCGATTACTAATCCAATGCTTTATGAGTGCAAACTTATTTCCCTCCTGGCAAATTACACAATTATCCCACATCAAATGAACCAGAAAGGGCAACAATACTTTCCTCTCATAAACGCCTAACGTAATTTCATTCATATCGCAAATCGTGTTTACTACTTCATTTCGTAACATTTACAATTTAAATTTGTAATAAAAATCCATAGAAATCAATTTCCATAAATTTTCATTTCCACTTCTGACCCAAAACAGAAAACGCTACAGGAAGAAAATTCGCATTGGATATTTTTTATGCACGTGGTTATTTCATAATTTATTATTTAAATAATCCCTAAGGAAATCGCAATTTCCTTCTCACGTTATCCGAAAAGTTAAGCTGATGGGATTTTGTTTTACAATTTGTTTTGAGGATTTTCTAAAAAGCATTTTCCTTCTTATTCGCACAAGTGTTCCGAAATTTGAATACATTATTTAAGTGCTTACTTAGGCTTCTTTTTCAATGTTGAAAAGTGTTCAAAGGCCACTAAAAGGCACGTCAATAGAGAGGGCAAAACACCATTCGAAGCACTTTAAATTAAAAGATAGTTAACCCAGTTCAAAGAGTCATAATTCAATTGGTGTCACTCACGTCGCTGCGCAAAGGTCATGTTCACAGTCAAACTCAAAAAATATTGAGCAATAAGTTCATCGCATTGACTTATGTCAGATATTTACAATGAACGTGTAGTGAGTATGAAATTTATTCTCATTGTCCAGAATGTTATTAATTCGAAAAATATTATAACGAGCTTCTCTCTCTCTCTCTCTCTCTATCTCCCTCGTTAATACAAACTAATCAGCATAAAAATGATAAAATGTAAAATGCTACAAAACGTAATTGCATATCTTACAGTTTATTTATGAAGCTTTACCAATTGTTATCACACTCGCTTATACATTTTACGCATTTGTGCTCTGAGATGAGAAGGATATGAGGTGGAAAATTGATTCAAGATCGTTTCAACACTGCTTGCTGTTGAATTTTCTTCTTTTTATTCATGATTCAAGCTTGTGCACGTTTTTCTGAATATTTTTTTTTCGTTCACTTATTCGCGATGTTTTTCGTGCACACGAAAAATGTTTTTTAACGCGTTGATGTTCGATTAAATAATTTCATGTCTTTCAACAACATCGATGAATGATTCAGGAGATTTTTTCCTTCTTTTTCTTCGTGTGAATTAAGTCTTGTTAAAGAAATAATAAATCGAACCCTTTATATGCTTGAAATCAAGGAAACCTTGACGATTCTATCGCTTATATGGCATTAGTTGAATGGAAATCTTATTATGCTGATTTTCGATTTAAGAACAGCTAAAATTTGTAATCATTTTGAGAATTTGATGTGGTTCTAAAGAACATTCAATAATTAATCGAAAATTAGTATCTCAATCACCACACCTTCGATTACTGTACTCAATCTGCATGCTTGAATTAATGTCGATACATACATATCAACATTCCTTCGGTTTAATTTACAAACCATGAAAACTTTTATTGTTCAATAAATTGAAATAAGCGAACACTTTTTTTTTCTCCAGCTGCAGTAACAATTACATATTTTGATATATTGGTTGGTAACTTTTTACTGTACCAAGCTCGAAAGCAAACAATGTTATTATTCAGATTACTTATTTATCGATGACTAACAAAAAAAGGCAACAAATCCGTCAAATAAACATAAAAAAAAGTTATTGTTTGACGATAAATACGAGATCAAATATCAATTAATCCGTTTTGGTGTTTTTATTCCACAGATTCAAATAAAGTAACAGACGATCAGTCAACCGCAGCTCAAACATGGTGGAACTCACATATTACAAATCCACTTGCGACACATGGACTTGTTCAGTCACACCCTGCACTCAGTGGCGGAATTACACGCACAGGTCCATCCCGGATATTGAATTCAACTCCAAGAACGCCACCAGCAAGTAGCGGACTTAGGACACCAGGAAGTTCTGGTGGATTTCCATCGTTCGTTAATCCAAATCCAAAATCACCATTCCGTCATTTAGACTTCAGTTCGAGTGCAACAGCTGAGTTAAGAAGAAATCCAAATTTGTCGGCACCTGATGAATGCGCGCGTGCTTGTCGTGAAGGTGAACCACCGAGAATCTGCTATTACCATTTCACGTTAGAATATTACACCGTATTAGGGGCGTAAGTACACACGATTATATGTTTCTAATACTCAATTCCCTTAAGCGTACGAATTCCGAACGCAATTAAATTCCGATTAACATTCGATGATGTTCCTTCCTTCGCAGAGCTTGTCAAGTGTGTACGCCAAATGCCACAAATACTGTTTGGAGTCATTGTCAATGCGTGTTAGCTGATGGTGTTGAACGTGGTATATTGACAGCTAATCGTATGATTCCAGGGCCAAGTATTCAAGTCTGCGAAAATGACAGAGTCGTCATTGATGTTGAAAATCATATGGAAGGTATGGAAGTTACAATCCATTGGCACGGAATACATCAAAGAGGCACACAATATTACGACGGTGTACCGTTCGTGACGCAATGTCCAATTCAACAGGGAAATACATTCAGGTAATTATATGAGGATGAAATCATTAGTTAGCTTTTACTAAGCGCACGCGTTACTACAAATCCATTAAAATTGCGTCCAAGTCTCCATGTAAACGGCTCCAATTGAAATTTCAAAGTTTCTTTGATTTTAATTTAAAGTTAAACAAGCTTGAAAAGTAATTTTACGGTGTGAACTGTAAACTATCAATTTACTAATCGTAAGCTTGTTGAGTTTTTAGGGGAAAAAAGTGAACTTTTAGATTTGAAGGGAGTCTAGGGAGGGATAGCAATTACATTAGTTCCTCTGACTCGATAACAGTTGAAATATATTTGTTATTAATTATTTAGAAAGCTTTTTGAATATTAAATATTCAAGAAGAGTCAAAAATTAAATTCTTTTATGCATGTTCAACATACAATGAAGTTCATTCCTAAGTCAGAATAATTTATTTAATTGTACAAGGAGTGAGAATGAATTGCAAGGAACGAGTTATCCTGAATTCACCAGAAATCTGATGACTTTTTAATGCTCTTTTTTGTGTTCTTTACAAATCTTTCTTTTAAATTGTTCGTTTATATAATTGAAATGACTTCAACCATTTCTTTCTCGGAAATTTTACAACCGCTTTAATCTTGTCATAATTAAAATGTGTAGGTTGAATCATTTGTGAATGAATACCAAAAGAAACAGCAAAAAATTTAAAGAAGGTCTCAATGAAAATTTTCGGCTTCGTTAAACAAAACATAAAGTTATGAAAACGAGAGAAAAAATTAATGTCACAAATAAATTGAGATCAAATGATAAAAGATTGTACTCCGTCTTATTGTGCTTCAAATTGTGAGACACTAAAATAGAAACAAAAGGAAAAAGATAGAAAAAAACACAAACCTAAATCCATTAAGTCTTTTTTCGTGTACCTACAGCGTGTAATTCCTTTGTAATCTCAAAATTTACGCTATTTTTCACTCTCACAGATATCAATGGATTGGCAATGCAGGAACTCATTTCTGGCATGCACATACAGGGCTGCAAAAACTTGACGGTCTTCATGGATCAATTGTTGTCCGTCAACCACCGTCACGCGATCCAAATTCACATTTATATGACTTTGATTTGACTACTCATGTCATGCTTCTAAGCGATTGGTTGCACGAAGATGCCGCTGAGAGATATCCTGGACGTTTAGCAGTTAACACTGGTCAAGATCCCGAATCAATGTTGATTAACGGTAAAGGTCAGTTCCGTGATCCCAACACTGGATTCATGACGAACACACCTTTGGAGGTTTTCACAATGACGCCTGGAAGACGATACAGATTCCGAATGATTAACTCATTCTCATCGGTTTGTCCAGCTCAAATAACAATTGAAGGTCATCAACTAACTGTAATTGCCACTGACGGTGAACCCGTGCATCCAGTTAATGTCAATACCATCATCTCATTCTCAGGTAAGTTCCCATGCATGATTTATGAGATGTTAATTATGGTTTGATCATTAAGATGCTCTATGAAAAGCTCTTGAATGCCACTTTTTCTGCTGCTGTTGTTATTATTGTAAACTAACATAACACAAAAGGCCTTCCGCCATCATTACAAGCCGCCTGAGGTGAAAGACAATCTCATATCTTGTCCAAAATGATTTATCTTCATCCATTCAGTCGGTGTTAGTGCTGTCACCTGTTTTTCACGACCTGCGGCAAGTTGGTAGAGACATGAAAAGATTTAAAGAAATATTTAACAATAAAAAAATATTAAACGCACGCGAGATTCAAAGTCATTTCCAAATCAATTATAAAATATTTTGGATTCCAATTAAGAAATTCAATCGCAAATCACGCACACGATTAAACGACTTGCATTAACCAAGCATTTCGTTATGATCTTTAATTAATGAATTAAATTACTTACAGCTTCAGATTGGCTAACTATCGATTATTATATAAATGCAACAGTTTTTAACTAATTAGAGCGATGTTGGCTCGCTTTGCTGCTGTGGGACGTGTTGATCGAGTTGTCAAACAGAAAACATGTTTATAACATCGACAGGTTAACCTTCTGATAAAAGTGTGAATTGAATTTAATTAAACTTTCTTCCTGACTTTCAAATTTCTTTTACTGCTTTTCGTGATCGCATGTGAGAATCTCAATTCACGGAAGACATCTCATTCAATTGCAAAGTGACAGTAATTATCATTTTACGAAATGCCTTGTGAAATTTTTCATTAAAATTTTTAATCAAAAGTATTTAATTTTATGGCACGAACTAGTTTAATTAAAATTGAAATTTTTCGTGGATTTAAATTGCGAAATATTTTTTATGATTTTTTTTTCGGTATTTTCAATCAATAAAAATTACTGAGAATGAAAGATTTAGAATCTTTTTCATATTTAATAAATTTTCCTAAAAGTAAAAGCATTTTATCATAGAAGATAAATGAAAGGAAACCCAAAAAGTTTTTCATCGTAAATAACACAAATCTCCAGTTTTCAAGTCATTAAACTTTTAACACTCCGATGAACCTACTAAAGGTCTTTCACATTACACCGCATAAATATTTAAACTTCAAAACAGAAAAACAAAAAATAAATTAGTAAATCACAATTGTCTTTGACAAAGCAAAGATTTTTCTTAATCCAAATTAAAGTTTAACATTGAAGCCCAAGGAGATCAGCATGAAATTTAATTTCACTTAGTTAAGGCACTTATTTAAGTAAACAACTATTAGGTGGTTGCAAGAACTCGCTACTCACCCGAAATAAATGAGAACGTGTTGATTGAAAAATCGAGTAGCATTAGAGGCTCATTGCACCACCACTTTAACAGCTCTAAATATAGTTATTATTACAGCAATAAATAACACAGTTCGTCAATGAAGGTTGAAGCAGTGGCGTGTCAAAGCTCGACTAGTAAAATGCCCAATTAAATATTTCTTGCTTATTGAATGAAGAAAAATGTGCAAGAATAAAAATTGCGATGTTAAATCAATTTACTTGCGGAAATTTAGCGAAAAATTTAAAGTGTAAAAGTAAAAAAAATTACATTTGCTTCGCAGGCGAACGTTACGATTTTGTAATCACAGCAGATCAGCCAGTTGGAGCTTATTGGATTCAGCTTCGAGGTTTGGGTGAATGTGGCATTAAACGTTCACAGCAGCTTGGAATCCTCAGATATGCTCGAGGTCCTTACCAACCCGCATCACCAGCACCTACTTACGATGTTGGAATACCTCAGGGAGTTGTGAGTAAAATATTTTCCTTGTTAACCACCACCCACACATGATGAGGTTACTTTCTCATCTTAAATATCCTATCCTATTATTTACATTTTGTAAAAAGAAAACAAAAACATGTACAAAATCGCTGAAGCACTTAATCAAGATTGAAAAATATTTTTTGTAAATTTTTTCACACTTCGCAACGCCTTAATGAAAAGAATTTTAATTATTATATCACAGCACTTCATTTAAAACAATTCCAATTAAGAGCACTCCCATCAATATCAAATGCATTCATCCATTTGTCCTCATCAGCAATTGTAATTATCAATTTGTAAATTTATGCAGAATGAACAAAAAAAAATTTTTTTTTCCGTTGAAATCTGCAATCGTTTAAAATCATTTCCAGTTTGTTAATTAAATTTTAATGAAAAACTTTGTTCATTTTGTTAACTTCATGCTCTTTTGAGGGTGAAGAGAAAGAAATGTATAAATTTGTTCGTTTTTTAATTTAATCGAATTGGTAAGTTTGGTTTAAAATTTCAAGCTTTTCAAGTGTCGTTGATTAATTTACAAGAGCGGCAACATGAAAACAAGATTTTCATACTTTCTTTTTAAAGCTTAATCTTGAAATTTTCTTATTTTTCCTTTCTTCTTCTTCTTTTCTTCATTTTACTTTTTCCTTTTAATTATCTATAACAATTTCACTCATTTGAGTTTATCTTTTGTACTCGCCCCAAACCACTTTTTATTTCACCTGCCATTTGTTGTTTACAGAATGCTGAATAAACAAAATTAACAGAGTGACTCGGCAAATTGCTAAATAATATCTTTCTTCCACTCTTCAAACATCCACGGTTATGTTTAGTGAGCTTCCGACTATATATTTAAAATCACGCTCACAACATGACGTCTCCTGTCCAAATCATTCCTTCTCCCTTCACTGTACTTTTATATTTCCCTCCTACCTTCGGTGATTTAATCAATTAATGAAAATTTCTTAAATCGATATTTTTTCTCTCTCTTTTTCTTTCATCTAACGCCTTTCCAAATTTCACTTTTTTTCGTTGTTGTTTATGACGTGACGCGATAAAAACTCAATTAAAATTATACAAATAAAACTATTAACTGTCGTTAATGATGCAAAACATGAATCGTATAAAATGTAATGTTATAAAAGGTAATGAATCCGCTTGATGCCCAATGTAATATGAAACGAGACGATGCGATTTGCGTGAATCAATTGAAAAACGCACGCCCAGTAGATCCAGCACTTCTTCAAGAGAAGCCAGATGTGAAAATCTTCTTGCCATTCCGTTTCTATCTTTACCGACCGGAAGAACTTTTCCAGCCCAACACGTACAACAGATTTTTAGGTAAATTTTCTTCATTTTTAATTGTAAATTCAAAGTCGTTAAAACAAAACAAGAACATAAAGTTTATCCCTGATCTTAAGTGTTCTTCCTTGAAATATTTTGTTAAGTATACATTGTTGAAGAAGTTTCTCACCAAAAAAAAAAAAATACAAATCATGATTTACTTTACTTCATTTTGACATTGAAGTCATAAATCATTAAAGAAAAGTGCACTTGACATTGATTTTTATATTTTGCAACTTTGAAAGTGTTTTAAGTAATTTAAATTTATTTTAATGTTGTTGATAGTTGCGCCAACTGGAGATCATGTAATCTCACTCATCGATGAAATTTCTTATCTTTCACCACCCACACCACTCTTATCGCAATATGATGACATTAATCCGGAACAGTTCTGTAATGGTGATAATCGACCAGCTACGTGTGGGGCCAATTGTATGTGCACACACAAAGTTGATATTCCACTTAATGCTATCGTTGAAGTCGTTTTGGTCGATGAAGTACAACAGCCCAATTTGAGTCATCCATTCCATTTGCATGGTTATGGCTACAATGTTATCGGTAAGTTGTTAAAATGAATTGCCAATGTTCCAACTCATTGAAGATACATGAATGAATATTCAATCGAATTTACTAATGAAATTTCCTTTTTCTTCATTGCATGTTACAAAAAGGTATTGGTCGATCACCCGATACAACAATTAAGAAAATTAACTTGAAGCATGCCCTCGATTTGGATCGTCGCGGTTTACTGCATCGACAATATGATCTTCCGCCACTGAAAGATACAATCGCCGTGCCAAATAATGGCTACGTTGTATTTAGATTCCGAGCTGATAACCCTGGGGAAGCTTCAACATCTCACTGCATATTCCATTGTTGCCTAGCGAATTGTTACTGATAATTGAATGTTGAATTCACATTACAGAGCATGGCTGTTCCATTGTCATTTCCTCTTCCACGTTACTATAGGCATGAACTTAATATTGCATGTTGGAACGCAAGCTGATTTACCACCTGTGCCGCCGAATTTCCCTACCTGCGGAGATCATTTGTATGAGAAAGAGAGAATTTATAAATAATTTTACTGAATTTATTTAAACCGTGATAGGCACGTGATTTATGCTATTTTCTTTTATCTTATCCACAGACCTGAAGTGATGCCTCCGATTCACCAGACTTAATTCTCGTGGGAGAGATTACGACATGTCATTTAGCTGTTAGGATATGCTAGAATACTTTTAATATTTAAAAACCCCGGATGAGAGAAGAAGAAAAAAGAACGAAGCTTTTCTCGTGAATTTCTGAGCCAGAATTTTATTCTTAGAAATGCTGAACGAGAGATTAATGAACGTTTATTGAATGAAATATTATGCTCGCTATCTCTCGTAAAATTATGCTTTTATAACGAATTTCTAATCCATGATACGTGCGTGAAAGCTCGACAAGTAAATAATATTCATGGATGCTAGCTGAAGATAATTTATAATTTGTCACACTGCCTTGAACATAATGTTAATTTTATTTCTTTATTCTCTCTCTTCCACTCTCCCTTTCTTTCCTTTTCTCTTTCACATTTTTCTAAGTAAATTTCAATCCGAAGTTGGTTGGACTTACTTTTATATGAATTGAAATCATTTTTAGGAATTTTGCATAAAGTGTAAATATTATTTTGTAAATATGCCGATGTTTTGAAATTTAAGTCATTTCTATCATATTTTTTTCCTTTTCATTCATCCACCCACACGCATATTTCCTTTCATTTACATTTTTCATTAACAAGAATCATTTTTGAAAGTTATGAAAGGCTCATTTGCCATTCTTTTGCCAACGAATAATTCGCAAATAACTTCACATAAAATGAAAGTTTTCTCTTTTCATCAATCATTCATGATCCATTTTTTGTCAGCAACGATAAGGAAACATATATCCAAACTTGAAAATACTCATTTTCTCATACATAAATATCATATACAATTTTAATGTCCTGGAAGTTTAGACAATCATTCTGCATTTTTCAGAAAAAAAATCAGATATGCGAAAGATGATTTTAAATTTCTTTTAATAAAACATGAATTGAAACGAATATTCCTTTGCCTTAAGCTTCAAGGGATATGAATACGTACTTGAACATTTTTCTTTTATTTATCTACCAATTCCCGGATTTTTTTTTATATTTCTTACCGTCAACTATAATGATCCAATTATATAATAATTCCCTTAAAAGCATTCCATTTCCCACTGCTATTGCTGGCCATTTACAACAAGTTAACCCTTATAGTCCCCCATGTTTGTTAAGTTTTAATAAATATTGATAAATATTTCCATAACTTCCAGAAAAATCAATAAACTTTTGTTTCACCTCAATCCATCAATTTCCATTTTCATAGTATCATCATTATTGCTTTGACCTTTGCTTTCAACAAATAAATCATAAGAAAATTACTCAATTCACACCCAAACCCTTCCGCTCTCATTCCCTTCATTATATCGTCCCAAATCACCATTATGAGATTGCTTATAAAATCAAAATTATATTTTTTTACTATTTTCGATCGCGATAGCAATAGTTATGTAAATATTTAAGCAAACTACATAAATAACATTTCACGTTTTATGCCAATTAGGTACTCAAAATCAAGCTTCATGATAAAGAAAAGCTGAATATAGCTGAAATATTTAAGACGTCAATGAAATTATTTACAAACAGAAAACCATACTTCAATTTATTTTAACTAAGTAACTACATTATTAAATAAAAAGAAAATAAATCCATCTAAGAAATCAGAATATTTTATTAACGACAACTTAAAAGGATTCTTTATCTAATTTATTGAAGAGAATAAAAGTAATGAAGCGGAAAACTTCACATAAATACTTTTGAAAGAAATGAATTTGAACAGAGCAGCAGAGCTTGGAATCGTTTGATAGAATTTCTTATGAATTTTAAAATTTATTTACAGTCTCACTTTCGATGTATGTTGCTTCCTTGACTATTTCCAAGATCTGAATTTTAATATTCTTGAATCACAAAGTATTTGATGTCAAAGTCTTTATAAACAACAAGCAGATAATCTGAGATTTCGTTTTAAAACTGAAGAAGACTTCAGCTCAATTAAGTGAATAGGTTGACAACGTCAAAGAGAATTAAGGTTCCTAATCATCTTTGATCAATTTGAGTATTTTATTTACTTGCTAAGGAACTTATTCTTTTAAAAATTTATATAAAGAATGCTATTCAACCCTTCCATCAATTCCTTATTCAAACATTTTTCAGATCACACTTGACTGATTGATATAAGAAGATTATTGTAGTTAAATTTTCGAAATTCGTTTGAATAATAATAACACCAATGCTTCACAAACAAGAAAATGAAATCTTTGGTTTTTATGTAGATAAGTGACGGCTGATTCGATCAAGAATTTCCATCAAATATACATTTTAAAGTATTGCTTCCTTCATCCTACAGAATGTACAACCATCTCTCAAATGAATACATTTTTTTGCTGTAAATGATGTAATTTAATCATTCAATTATTCATCATGCTCATGTATGTAGCTTTATTATTTATTTATGTATATTTTGGGTAAGTCTCAAAGGTATTTATAAATGTTGATGTTCATTTCACGTGTTGGATAAAAAGCTTTAATTCTATTTTCATTGAAATCTCAAATAATCATGTCAACTGAACTGATTGAATTTTAATTTCCCTTCTTAATCAAACATTAGGTGATGAATCCGCTTGATGCTGTTTGCGATAGAAAACGAGCTGACGCTGTTTGCGTGTCGAACTTGAAGAATGCAAAGAAGACTGATGAAGAAATTCTCGCTGAACGACCAGACATTAAAATTTTTCTCCCATTTCGATTTTATTTTTATCGTGTTGAAGAACTTTTCCGTCCACAAACATACAACAAATTTCTGGGTAAAGCCATAAAAAAAAGCGACCGACCTTTCGATTTAATTTACATAACTTTTTTTGTTGACAGCTGTGATAGGAGGCGATCATCTCATTTCACTTGTTGATGAAATTTCTTATGTGTCACCGCCTGCGCCAATTATTTCACAGTACGATGACATTGACCCCAATCAATTTTGCAATGGTGACAATCGTCCATCCGATTGTGGACCAAACTGTATGTGCACACACAAAGTTGATATTCCTTTAAATGCCATCGTGGAAGTTGTTCTAGTCGATGAAGTTCAGCAAGATAATCTCAGTCATCCATTTCATTTGCATGGCTATGCTTTCAATGTTGTCGGCATGGGTCGTTCACCAGACACAACTATCAAGAAAATTAGTTTAAAGCACGCTCTAGAGTTGGATAGACGCGGTCTCTTGAATAGACAGTTTAAAGGTCCGCCACTGAAAGATACGATTGCCGTGCCAAACAATGGCTATGTCGTGCTGAGATTCAAAGCTAATAATCCAGGGTAAGCTCATTATTTTGTTCTATTCTTCACAATCATTGATTAATGATGTTTCTTAATCGCTTTCAGAGCTTGGCTATTTCATTGTCACTTCCTGTTTCATGTAGCCATAGGAATGAATCTTATTATTCACGTAGGAACACAATCTGATTTACCGCCAGTGCCACCCAATTTTCCTACTTGTGGTCATCATCTTCCGCCGATTAAACATCATTAGTCATTTTAGAGCAATATTAATTAAGGAATTTTTATGATTTGTTTCTCCAAGTTGAATTTTTAGAGAATTTCATGTGTCAACTCAGTGAAAGTTATGTTTCTTGTTATGTTTTACAAAAAAACCCAATGCTAATAGACAGCATAAATTCTGTATTATCATCATGTCATAACTTTGAACTTTCAAAGTAACTTTACATCAAAGAAATTTAATTTCTTCGTGCATACCTAAAAAGTTTTAATTTTAAACTCACAACTCGGTGTGCCGTTAACGTTTAAGTTTTGTACATAAATCTACTACTTTATGATTTTTTATGTTTATTATGCTCTCTTTTTTCTTATTGAAATAAAAACAAATGTGTAATTAAAGCGAAGAAGTTATAAGAATTTAATTTATGGACGGAAATCTTTTATGTTCAATTGCATAAAAATTAATATAAAAGAAATTTTTTTCCAGTTTATTTTAATGAATGTCGGTGTTTTTCAATTATATTTGCACTTATGCACTTTATTATTGTTATTATCTAAGTACAGCGGTCAGCAATCATTTTGAACCAAGTGATTTCTCTTGTAAAACTTTGTCAGCAGTTAATTGCATATAAAAAAGTAGAGTAAGGAAATTTAGCTTTTCACTTTTTTTTTCTGAGAAAACATTTAAGATTTTCTTTTGAAATCAAATTTAATAGATTAGTTATATCGAAATTTATCAGGGAATTAAATGAATTTCAAACAAATTCATTTAATGAAAATAATACATAGAGATTCCATCAAGTAAGCAATGGCAATAAAAGTTTCAGTAATCTTGTTTTGAGATTTCATGATTTCTCGTCATTTCTGTTTTCAAACGCCAATCATTAACAAGATAACAGCAAAAATCGCAAAATGACTGACGATGACGTTTATTTTGACATTCCTGTCCAAATCAATAATAAGTTTGAGAAGAGAATTTCCGAAGTGTTTAGAGTTTTTGATCACAGAGCTATCAACATGGTCAATGGAGAAGATATCGGTTCAATTCTACGTTTTCTAGGATGTGTTCCAACTGAAGAACAAATTCAGACTATCATAAAAAATACTGAATTTCCCAGTCATCCTGGTGATATTCATCTTTCAAATTTCTTGCCATACATAAAGGATTTACTCATTCGTCATGAGATGAAACCATCAAAACCAGAAGCGTTGTTACAGGCTTTTAAAATTCTAGATCCCAAGGACAAAGGATTCATTGAAAAGGAAATCTTTGAATCGTTCATAAAAGATTGTGGTGAAGCAATGAGCGAAGAAACTTATAAGGAAATGATGAAAACTGCTGTTGATCCAATCGAAAAGAAAGTTTATTACGAACCTTACATTAGAAAACTTATGCATGAACCTGAAGATTCCATCTATAAACTAGCTGATGCTTATATAGCAACTACCGAAGGGTCAAGAGCTTCAATGAGAAGAAAAACATTTCTCAGTAAATGAAGAATGAAAACGCTCAAAGTCATTGAAAGAAATTTATTTGTTTTCTTTATTTGATTCTAATAAATGTTTCCCATGACAGCTATTAACGTGTTCATTTTTCTTTTCTATTGTTTGATCGATAAAAAAATCAATCGCAATCATGGAAGAATATTACGACATACCAGGTAAGTTTTATTAAATTATTTCATTAAAATAAGTCATTTATCTGGTTTTTAAACATAACAGTAAACATCACAAATGACCTTGAAAGAAAAATTGCTGACGCTTTTTTGATTTTCGATCATCATGGTCAGAAAACTGTTGATGTTCGCGAAATTGGTTCAATTCTCAGATATCTTGGACTAGTTCCAAGCGAACAAGAAGTCGGTGAAGTTATTGCAGAAACAGAGTTTGAAGATTCAAATGGAACAGTTCATCTGTCAAAATTTCTTCCTTACGCTCATCAGTTGATTATTGAAAGGAAGATGGAACCAGCACCAATTGAGAAACTTTTGGAAGCTTTTCAAGTTCTCGATTCAGAAGGAAAAGGACACGTCACGAAGGATTTTATGGCAAAGATAATGAGCGAAGAGGGTGAACCTTTCTCACAAGAAGAACTGGAAGAAATGTTCAGTTGTGCTGTGGATGGTTCATCGAATATTATTCCATACGAATATTATTTAAATCAATTAATGGTTGACATTTAATTGGAAATTTATTGATCATTAAAGAATCATATGTTTTACAGATTCTACGTTCTTTTTGTAACATTCAAATGAGCATAATGGGATGTTTGTTCTACTACAGTTGTATCTCTTTAAGTTCTTGCAACCTTCAATTCCACATAATTTCGGTTTTGGTGGATCAATTGAAGTTTTCGCTTTGATTGGACATTCAATGTTGGGTGGAAAAGTTAAAGTAATTTTGTCAAAAGTGTTTTTATATGAGATTACTGGTAATTGTTGTTTGACCGGTCGCATTTTTGTTGACTTCACCATTTTCGAATCTTGTTTCTTAAGCAACCTTTCCATCGTCTTCTTTTTATCTTTTTCACGTTTTTCATCTGCAAGCGCTTTTCTTTTTTGGGCCTTTTCCTTTGATTTTTCTATATCTTCAGCAGTCAATGGTAGTTTTTCCTTTTCTTTGTACTTAAAATTAGGGAGTGCAAGTAGCAGTTGACCACTGCTTGACACATTTGCTTGAACCCCATCGACAATAGTCGTACTTGGCATAGATTTTCGAACTTTACTCGGACTCAAGTCCTTGTTGTCACTTACATTCTTTTCATACATGGCTCTTTGTCGTGCTGTCATCAGTTTTGGATCTTTTGGTTTAATCTTTTTCAATTCATCGTCAACTTCTTCGAGTTTGCCGGTTTCAATCGCTTCCAACCATCTTTCTTCATCCGAAGATGTATCATCTTGTTGAACTGGCTTCTTTTTTCCCTTCTGATTCTTACTTGATTTACCTGATGTATTTGGTGAACTGAATGAATCTTCAATATCAAGATCGATTTCATCTTCATCTAATGATAATTGCTTTGGTTTCTTTATATTTTTCTTAATTTTTGTCTTTTTTGATGGAGATGACTCGTATTCTACAATGTTTAAAATACGTAAACTGAAAGATTATTTTATATAATAAGTCTTACCATCAGTTCCTTCCTCTTTTTTCTTCACCATTTTAATGTTAAATTAGTGAAAATATTTTGATTTCTTAAATTCTGAAATGTGTAAACAAAACTAAATTTACTCCCCTCAGAAATTGAAAAAAATCGAAAAATTTAAATAAAAATCCGTTAAATTTTATGTGGTTTGTAAATATCTTTCAGTTTGTTTTTAATTTAATTCTTGTTCAGAGTCAGAATCTAATGCTATAATATTTCCATACATAAGATTTCCGTTCTTTTTAAAATAATTGTTGATATTCTGTTTCATGAGTTGTCCCAGTTGAATTCGACTTGTTGATGGTTTTAACTGATTATTTATGATTTCTTCCTCATCATCCATTAAGAGTTCCGATGGGAAATGTGCTTTACTGATATCAAGTCTCTCACACGCTTGAGAATTTTTTCGTGAGAAACTTGGACTCTCTTGAAGATGCACTTTAACATTCATATCTTCTAAACCAGCAAGAAAATTGAAATCAGAAGATTGGCACAACCTTTGACTTTTCATAGCTTCCTCCAAAACTTTTTCATCGTCATCATCCATATTTTCAACAATAGCTTCAATTTGTGAAATTTCTTCTTGCTCTTTCTGTGACAATACAGTTTTTTGCTTCTTTACGTTAGCAACGTCTGCGTTATTTTCTTGATTCTTAAAAAGATCTTCACTACATTCATTTTTACGTTTAAAATTATTCCTAAGATGTTCACAAGTTGATATTTTTCCTTCCTTTGATTTAGCATTACTGCCATAAGATTCAATGAACGGACTGAGACAGCTATTTGTGACAGTAGCATTCGCTCTTGTTTTTTCATGATTATCTTCGATTCCATGAAAACTTCGACGCGTTTCCATATAGCTCCCCATCAGTTCTTTGTAACTTGTTGCACCTGCAGGCTTTCTTAAGGATTTTATAGATTCTTCTCGAATTGTAGCTAACACCATTTGAACTTTATATGATAATTCATTTTCAAACGCCGCTATAAGTGGTTTTCCTCCTTTGGTGAAAATAAGTTTCAACTCTTGGTTAGAGGATTCGGAAAATTCAACCATAGACAAAAAATCTTGTGAAGAAAATATAAGTCGAGTGGTCTCTGAGACATCATAGGAAGTAAATTCTTGAGGGTCAAGAGGATATTTGAGACGAACTGTTTCCACATCTTTATCAGGATGATCAATATGGTTTGTGACTTCTAATCTTTCCTCGTTCACAGCGATTGAAAGCTCTCTAAGACTTTTTGGGATGTGATTGATAAGATTACCCAAGATTAACGGTTGACAAACAATTCTAAGAAAAATTAAAAATTTAAAAATAAGAATAATGATTGAGTTATTAAAAACTTACAAATTATAAGGTGATTCTGGTATCATATGGTCTTCAAGAACTTCATGCTCCAGAATGGTAATACCGTGGTGTTTCTGAATATCTTTTTGTTTGTAAATATTGACGATTAAACGTTCTTTGATTGAATCCAAATGTAAACGACAATTGATAACATTTTTGATGTTTTTAAGGATGTGAAGTAGTGGACGAGCTGATATTCTGCAACTGTTTTCATCAAATTCAGTTCCAGTCTGTTCGTAAGACACAAAAAACTCTTCATGAAATGTAACAGAACAAAAGCAAGTTTTCGATGAGTTAATGACTCTTAGAATTAGCGCTTCTTCAACAGCTTCAAAATAAAGTTCATTGCCAATCCGAGATAAAAACTTAATCACTTTGGTAAATGTTTTTAATCCATTTATTCCCAAACTAGCTTTCATAATGAGATAAATTCTTTTTAATGATTTTAATTTCACAATTTCTACGGATTTTCAAAAAAAAAAATAAACTGAGATGACAGAATTATTTTCTCTGATATAAACAATCCAAGCAGACAAACAGAGTGTATTCAGTAAAATTAATTGACTACACGTGAATAAAAAATAAATAATTTTATTATATCTGAAATAAAATGGGAAAGAAAACGAAAGTTGGAAAGGATCGGCGTGATAAGTTTTACCAGTTAGCTAAGGAGACAGGTAGGCATTAATTCCAATTGATTCGTTTAATGATTGTACGTAAAAATTAATTTTAGGTTTCCGATCGCGTGCTGCTTTCAAATTGATTCAATTGAACAGAAGATTTGGATTTTTACAACAATCTCAAGTATGTGTCGATCTTTGTGCAGCTCCTGGTGGATGGATGCAAGTCGCCAAACAAAATATGCCTGTTTCGAGCATTGTCGTTGGAATTGATTTATTTCCAATTAAACCTATCGCTGGATGTATCAGTTTGACAGAAGACATCACAACTGACAAATGCAGACAATCGTTGACTAAAGAACTCAAAACATGGAAAGCTGATGTTATATTAAACGATGGTGCTCCAAATGTCGGTCGTAATTGGTTGTTTGACGCTTATCAGCAAATCTGTTTAGCATTAAGTGCAGTCAAACTTTCAACAGAATTTCTTCGACCTGGTGGATGGTTTGTGACGAAAGTTTTTCGCTCGAAAGATTACAATGCTTTTATTTGGGTACTCAAGCAATTGTTTAAGAAAGTTTATGCTACAAAGCCTTCCGCTTCACGTAAAGAATCTGCTGAAATTTTCATTGTTTGTCAGGGATACAAAGCACCAACAAAAATCGATCCTCGCTTTTTGGATCCGAAATACGTTTTCGAAGAACTTGAAATTGAGCCAACGACTAAAATTGATTTGCTTAAAGAACAAAAATCAATCAAAAAACCAAAAGCTGTCGGATATGAATCAATCGATTTGAGACGAATTGTGACAGCTTCTGATTTTCTTAAAGCTGAAAATGCTTTGGATGTTTTACAAATAGCAACAGAAATTAAAATTGATAATCCAAAAATTGATGAACATAAAGAGACATCAACAGAAATTAAGGAATGTTTCAAAGACATTAAAGTTCTTGGTCGGAAAGATTTGAAAGATATCATCAAATGGTGGAAACGTTTAAAACCTGAATTATATCCAACAGCTGTTGAAGAGACAGAAGCTTCCACATCAAAACAATCCGAAAATGAAGAAATCACTGAAGAAACACAAGAAGAAATTGAACTTGAAGAAATGGATAAATATATTGAAGATTTGAAACTTGAAGAGCAACGAGAAGAGAAAAGAAAGAAGAAAAAGGCAAACAAGGAAAGATCAAAATTGGATCAAAAACTTGCTTTGAAAATGGTCATTAAAGGAGATTCAGGACCACAGGAGACTCAAGACGAAAATATTTTCAATCTTCGAGAAATCAAAGACAAGAAAGTCCTCGAGAAATTTGTCGATGGAGCTGGCGTTGTGAAGAAACGTGAACGTAAGAAGAAAAATGAATCAAAACTTGTAGCTTACGATCCTGATGAGTTAAATGATGAAGAAGCTCACATTCCAACAATAACAAGTGATGTTGATGATGACTCTGATGAAATTGAAGAAGATTTGGGGCTTGGAAAGCAATCAGATGATGAAGATGAAGATGACAATTGGAATCTTCGTAGTACATCAAAAAACGGGGTCGCAGAAAACGTTCAAGCGGGTGGCGTTTTAAAAAGAAATAGAAACCCGTTGCTTACTGATCTTGATTATCGTGACAAAGATTCAAAGCGAATTCAAAAGGCACAACTTTGGTTCGAAAAAGATGCATTTAAAGATATGATGAAAACTGAAGATGGCGATCAAGATCTTGACTTGGATAGTTTGGTCAAAAATTACAAGAAGAAAGGTATTGAAGTGATTGGTGAACCTGACAAACCAGATCTTTCAAAATTAGGAAAGAAAGCTCGTCGACGAGCGAAACATGATGAAACAGGAAAATCTAAAGAAGCTGAAAGTTCTTCCGATGATTCTGACGATGAAAATCATGCTCCACCATCGGATGATGAAGATGTCAATGAAACAGAACCAAAAGTTAAAAAGATAAAACTAAACGAAGAAGAACTAGCAATTGGACAATTGATGATCACAAGTAGGAAGATGAAACGTGATTTAATTGATGGTGCTTGGAATCGTTACATGTTTAACGATGATAAATTACCAGATTGGTTCGTTGAAGATGAGAAGAAGGCAATGAAGAAAAGTTTGCCCGTTTCTGGAGATTTGGTTGAAAGTTATCGGAAGAATCTTACAGAATTCAATACAAGATCGATAAAGAAAGTCATGGAAGCAAAAGCAAGAAAGAAGCGTCAGAATAAGAAGAAAATGGAAAAGATCACAAAGAAAGCTGAGAATATCATGGAAAATGCTGATCAAACTGGCCAAGAGAAAGTTAGAATGTTAAAGAAACTCTACAAGAAAGCTGAAAAGAAGAAGCAGGAAGTTACTTATGTTGTTGCCAAGAAGACTGGAATTGCTGGTAAAAAAGTTCGTAGACCCGCAGGCGTCCAAGGTCGCTTTAAAGTCGTCGATCCTCGTTTGAAGAAAGACATGAGAGGTGAACAGAAAGCACAGAAGCAGAGAAGGGGAAAATCTGGAAAAATGGGAAAATCAGGCAAAGGAAAAATGCCTGGAAAAGCCAAGAATGGAAAACAAATGAAAGGAAGCAAACAGAAAAGGAAATAAATAAATTTAATGTAAATACGTTTATTGCTTAAAATTTTAACGGAAATAAAATATTTGAAAAAATTATATTTGGTCTCCTCAGATTGTTTTTTAGTTAAAACTCGAGAAAACTTTCTTAATTTTGACAGATTTTTAATGAAACTATTAAATTATAAATGACAGAGTCGTCTGTTGTTCATCACAAAATAAAAGCCGAATGGACAAAGTCGTCAGAACAAGAAAATTATGATAATTCGTCAAGTGGAAGTGATAAATTAGAAATAGTAGAAGATGAAAGTTGTGAAACGTCGGAAACTTCGGGGAAGATAAAAATACTTGAACAAATTGTACTTTATCCAAGTAAAAAGTTAATAAAATGTCATTATTGTGATAAATCCTTCAATAAAGCAGTATTTGAGGAACATCAAAAAATCCACCAAGTCACATTTTTCGAATGTCCCGACTGTGACAAAAAGTTCAGACGAAAATCAAGTTTAAGAAAGCATTCTTATTTTCACAAAGGGAAATTTAAGTATGAATGTGCAGAATGTAGTGTATTTTTCGTTGATGTAACAAAATTTGAAAGACATAAGATGACAAAGCATAAAACGGATTCAATTCGGTATAAATGCGAAGAACCAAATTGTGAAAAATCATTTTCAAATTATCAATATTTAAAACGACATCAAGTCACTCACAGTGGTAAGTTAATCTTTTTCACATATCAAAATTATTAAAGAAGATACTTAAGATTAATCTCCTTTGCAGATGATTACAAATATAAATGTTCAATGTGTGATCAAAAATTTAAATGGATGACTGCACTGCAACATCACAAAGCAACACATCCAGAAAACAAAACATATTTTGAATGTAATGAATGCTATAAACCTTTTTACAATCAACGTACATTTGAACGTCATCAAAAAATTCATAAAAACATTAAATACAAATGCATTTTGTGTACGGCTGTTGCTAGTAATCGTAAAGATAACATTCGAAGACACATCAGACATTTACATCCTGAAGTTGAAAGATCTGAAATCTCATCTAAGATTGCGACAATTGAAGATCTTACAGATATTTCTATTGATCGTGATAATAATGATAATGGTGATGAATATGACGATGAAAGTGCAGATGTTGACACGTCAGTGTCAGAACCTCGATACACTCCCGTAATTATCGATGATGCAACCTTATCTGAAGAAGTTATTTGCATTGAAACACCGCCATCACCACCAAAATCACTGCCAATTATAAATAACCGAGTTAATGTTATTCAATCTGTTGGAAATCCTCAAAAGCTTCAAGCAGTTGTTGAACAACAAAAAGAGACTCCCAGTGAGGTATTTCGTGAAGAAACGTCACAGCCTCGAAAGACGACAAAAGATTATGAATCAGAAATAAAACTTCCACCAAAGAAGAAAGCGATCGCGATAAGTGGGACAAATATAAGCTCAACAAATTCCACAGCATTCGCAAAACCAAAATACGATCCAATCCAACATTATCGTAAGATTCTTTTAGGCTTTTCGAAAGATGAAGATCCGCCCACAACAATTGAAGATAACAATGAAGAAGAGGAAGCTGAGGAAGAACCTCAAGTTTTTCCCATCCATTGGCGAAAGCGAACGTCACAAAATTTTTTATTCAGACATTAATAAAACTTTTTAATTACTAAATATATAAAAATGGATTTTAAAAACAAGTTTAGGCTTAAAAAGGGAAAAAGAAATATTTTCGTTTCATAACAGACGCTTCATGAATAATTTATATTTCAGTCTGAGTTATTTCAATAAAAAAAAGTCTCATCTGTTTCTATCAGCTGACAACTGTTACATAATTTGCTTCTTAGGAAGATTACCGCTAACGCAATATAAATATGACAAAAAATAACATCATTGATTTTGCTTTAATACAAATGATTTGATTTATTGATTCTTCAATGACTAAATGTAATGATTAATAATTAAATTCTCACTTTCTTCCTGGTTGAATCGAACGATTTCCTGTTAGGAGATCTGGTCTACTGAACGAAGGATTTAAGACACGAGGGACAACTGGCGCTGGTCGATTTCTAACAGGACGACTTGAACCTGCTGCTGCTGGTCGACTAACCGGGGCTGGTCTGCTCTGAGTATTTGGTCGGAGAAGATCGAAAATTAAAGATCCTGTAGGTTGCTTAACATCCGTTACATGAAATCCGCTTTTGTTGACATAATATTTAACATCCATTGGATTTCCATTCACAATAAGTCCAAGAGTTCCAGTCTTGTAGAAATTTTCCGGTGTTGATATTTCATATTCACGAATAAGCATTTCGATATAGTCATTATCAAGCGGAATTTCATAAGTTATACTGTGATATCTTTTGTCGGATGTTTTCAAAGTGTATTGTCCCTCGAGAGATTGAAATCCGCTTCGTTTTGTAACAAATTGAATGTAATTTTCACCAGTCTTCATAAAGCTCCTGTGTGTAGAAAAAATAAACATTAAATAAACTTTGAAGCTCCGATAATCCCACGCAAAATTGTTACTTACACTTTCAAATTTTGTTTGCCAATATTGTTAAAATTAATTTTAATTTCACGAGGTGGTCTGATTGCAGGAACGTCTTTGATTGCAGGAGCCGGAAGAATTCTGCGTTCAGCAGTAGCACCAAGATTATGAAAGATTCCCAGACCTTTTGGATTAATGTTGTATTCAATCTCGTAGCCTAATCCATTCTGAACGAAATTGATTTTGTTTGTTACGTTGAAATTTCTTTCATCCGTTATGTAAGGGTCTGGAATGTCAACGTACACTTTTTAGCATGAATTAAAATTATCATTTCTTCACTCACTTGTGAATTCGAATTTTCCATTTAAGAGGTAATAATAAACAGTTTCGTAACGACACCTTTCATCCTTGAAAGTGTACTGACCGAAGATTCTCGTATCATCGGGATGTTTGTACATCACAACACCTTGACCATTAGTCAATCCCTGCCTAAAGATGTAAAATATTTCATTCCCTTAAACTTCTCATCATTTTTCACTTTCATTTCTTACATATAAAAGAATCCAGCTCCAAAATTCATATAAATAGGATTCTGAAATCTAACATCTCTATCTCGATCACAGCCACACCATCCACTTGTTATCAAAACTGATAAAATAAAACTGCACGTTAAAAATTTTCCAAACATATTTTGTTGAAAATCGAAACAAAACTAACGGCAAAAACGCTTGCGAGAGCTTTCATATATTTTTATACTTTTTTTTTGTGATTCAAACGAAACATATTTAAATAAATATTTATTTGTGGTGGTGGATCAAATGACACTTATAATCAATCGAAGGAAAGCTTATGTTTTATTTCTCTAAATTGACTCCCATAACACTCAGTTGATCATTCGAAGATGTTAGCATGACCCATTGAAAAAATAAGACAGTTAAATGTATTTCAAGCTATACGATCAGCAATCTATGCGCACAACAAATTGATAGTTTTTTCATCGAAAAATAAGAAAAATTCAGACAGTGGTAAACCATGACAAAAATATTTTACCCAAAATTATATCTATTTACGAGCATCTCATTAGCGTATTGAATTTGCTCAGCATTCGAATACAAACAGGTTTGACCGAAGATGCTTCCAAAGTAGCGTGCGATAGAAAGAAATGGGAAGTAGAGAAAGTGGATGAAAGATTTATGCAAAATAGGTGTTCGCTTTTGTGTTTTAGATTTCAAACAAAATCCCATTGCATAACAATTAAATCGTTATCCAACTTAATGAAACACAAATGTCAAGTATTCAATGCGAGTATTCACCAATATCATCTTCAAATCTTCCACTTATGATCAATGCAAGAAGTTATGTCATTAAAGCACATTGAACCATGACTTAATCAGACATAAAATGCTTAAATAAACAAAAGAAGGAGTGGACATCATCATGAAAGATTATCGTAATTGTGTTAATGTGGGACATTAATAATGTTTCTAATCTCTGCTTAGCTCAAATTAACAAATGAATGTAACTACTCAAAGTGTTATGAATAAATGAACCAAATTTAATAATCAAAATTCTCTTCTCTTGACGAAAATCTCTCAAAAAATTTTAATATTTATTAAAAAGATTCTTAGAGAATTGTAATCAGTTTCAGAGGTACTTTGCGTCAATAAAGAAGGAAAATTTTTGGCAAATTTAATTTAAATATTTCATACCGGCAAACATTTCTTTGAAGATTAATAGAGTGTCAGTTTCATTATCAATAAGTGTCGGAAGGAAATTAAATAGACATACTTAAATATGAATGAATTAATCATAATTTGTTTCTTATTAACGTTTTTTATGGAGCCGGTCAAAGGTGACCTTCATTGATAAGATTTCATTTTAAAATTGCTTACGCATTAATCTATGGAAATTCCTTTATTATTTATCAGCTGCTGAGTGTGAAGACAAGGAAGTTTGCAAACCGTTAAAAGAGTGTGAACGTGAAATGGAATTTTTTAAAAAACGTGAATTTGCAAAGCTCAGAGTTTGTGGAATTTTTGATCAAACTGTAAGAAATTGAAACATTTTTAATGGTCGGAAATTCTAAGTTTTAAAAATTTCAGATGAGTCATTGTTGTCAAATACAATCAACTGATCGATTCCTTGAAGATTCCACAAGCTTAGTTACTGAAGCTGTATCGGAAATCGAAACTCATAAAAACTTTCATTTGATTAACGAAGCATCTTGTGGTGCACAAACCAACTATCGAATTATTGGAGGAAGGAAAGCAAGAATTCACGAATTTCCTTGGCTCGTTTTACTCGCATATCGTCATGACGATATCGTTTCGTTTTCGTGTGGTGGAACTTTGATATCCAAAAGATATGTTTTGACAGGTGAATGTTGCGAGATTATTCAAAAGATAAATTTAAGTTTTATGGTTCCAATTTCATTTAATAGCTGCGCATTGTGTTAATCAAAGAGACTACAATTTGTGAGTGAAAGAAAAAATTGATTGAAAGACGATTATATAATGTTTTGTTACAGATTTTCTGTAAGAATCGGAGAACATACAATTTCCAAAGATATTGATTGTAATAATTACAAGGACAACAGCACATGCAGTGATCTTCCAGTTGAAGATATTGAAATTGAGTCAATAATTTCACATAAAGACTTTAACAATGAAAACATGATTAACGACATTGCTTTGATTCGATTATCTCGTGATGTTGAATTATCGAAGAAACGAATAAATGTGAGAACAATTTGTCTGCCCGTAGAAGAATCACAACAAATTGACAACATTCATGATGAATTTCTAAATCTTACAATTGCCGGTTGGGGATTAACTGAAAATGACAGAAAACAAAGCGATGTGTTAATCAAAGCTAAAGTTCCTTACTTATCAAATCCTTCGTGTATTAAGATTTACGATATTAAGAAAAGAAATTACAGCACATTGAAAATAGAAATTAAAGACTCTCATATGTGTGCAGGTGGAATTGAAAGAGTCGACACTTGTAGAGGTGACAGTGGATCGGCTTTAATGGGAGTTGCAGACCTGGGAAATTTTTCAAGAATTTTTCAACATGGAATTGTGTCAATGGGCGTTAAATGTAGTCAAGTTGAACCTTTTCCAGGAATTTATACGAGAGTTTCTAAGTTTATTACATGGATTCTTGATAATATGACGCCTTGAAAATTAATTAAAATAATTTCCCTCTTTTGATGAAGAAGAAAATTTTTAAATATAATAGAAAGTGTGAGCTCGACTCGTAAGCTAAGACATCGTAGAAAAGTTTAAAAATAAAAGTCTGTGAATGAAAAATGTACTCACGTGAAAAATCAAAAACCTTTTTCACAAGTTCAAGTTTAAGTTTAATCTTTATGTTGAGATCCCGGTAGTGTGTTTATTATTATTTGAAGCTGCCAAATTGAAAAACGAGACTTTAACGTCGAGAGATGAAAATGACCAAGGCTAAGATTTTCTTGGCAATCCTTTGAGACATTTTCTTCTGTTTCAGTATCGCGTAGAACGTTAAATAAGGAACATGGTGATTGAAGACTCTCTCTTGTTGAAAGAAAATTTTATTAATGACGTGCGGGAGTTCGTTAAAAAGAAAAATTGGCGTAAAATTCTAGTGTCATGTAAAAAGTATGGAATAAATGTTACTTCTGAAACTTTGTGGACTTTTCCTTCTGAGTATTGTGTGACTTATCTTAAAGCACTTTGGAAAAGCTTCAACATTACAAATGTTTTGAGCATAGGATGTGGAACTGGCTTGATGGAATTTATTCTAAGAGAAAGCATTGGTAAAATTTAAAATGTTTAGAAATCAAAACTTTTTTCGTCTGCATGCAAATTAAACAGTCACAAAAAATGTTTTTTATTATATTTTAGGGATAAGAGTTACTGGACTTGAAGTCGATAAGAATTGGTGGTCACGTCACAAACCATTTATTCCCTTAAAGTTTTTAGATCCTGGTCAAGAAATAACTTCTAAATTTCTGCTTGACACGTGTTTAAGTAAAAATTGGAATTTTTCACTCATGTTCTGTTACTTCAATAATAGAAAGGCCTTTGACGAATATGTGAAATGCTACAAAGGAAATTATGTGATAATCATTGGACCAGCAGCGAATACCATGAGATATACCGAGCCATTACCACTTGATAAGGAATTTCAGGAAAACGAGAACTATAAACTTATTCATGTTAAAGAGTTTGGTGATAATCACGATCTGATTGCCATTTATGAGAAATGTGTGAAAAATTTATTTGCTTGAAACGGTTGAAATATATTTAAAAGAGCTTTCGAAAAGCTTTTCATTTCTCCAAAGAAATATTCTTTTGTACAGTATCGGAAAATGCTCGAAAGAGTGCAGTTTTAGAAGTTAAGGGAAATCTCTTAAGTATTTCCATCTCATTAATAAAATAATATTATTTTAGGAGAAGGCAGCGATATATTGAGAAAGCTTTTTCGACGAGGAAAGCTCTAGAAATAAATTTTTGATTAGTTTTCTTTTCTGTAACTTTTGTGATATTTTTAGACAAATAGAATCTCCATCAATAATAAGTAGTTGTTGACCATAAAATGAAAGATTAAAAATATCAATACAAAAGTAAACTTCTGTTGAAAAATTAATTTGTTTTAAATTACGATGTGTGTATTTTTACATTGGTGCATGCTGCAATCTATTTTTGTACTTTGCTCTTGTTATGTTCGCTTGATAAGACAAAAATAGACACAGAAAATGTGTGGGCGAAAGAACACTACGAAAGGGAGAATCAAGGAAAATAGGTTACGCTAGATGCTGAAATGTGTAAAAGCTACTCTCTCGTTGTGCTTTAGTTTGAGTTCTATTTTTGTAAACAGCAGCAGCAATGGTGAAAAAAAAAATCATTTCAATGATGAAAAATGAAAATAAACGAAATGACTTCAGTTAATGATAGAATCCCACTTGTTGACGAAATGTCTGAGTGGGTCGATAAATAAAAAAAAGTAATGTTTTATTTGTCTGCCTAGTTTAAAATGGTTTTGTTCGACTTTCCTAGTAGTTTCTGATAAATTTAAATATAAACTAAAAATGTTATCGTTCTTGGAAATAGAATGTCTATTAAAATTTGAGATAATTATAAAACAATATTTTTTCTATTTCTGTTTTCGAATGAAATTTATTTCAGAAAGTTGGAGAATCGATAGAAATAAGGAAAATATTATTCATCATCACAATGATCAAAATAAAGAAAATACCTTTGAGAGAGAATTTTCTCCCATTTTCGCTTGATACAATTTCTCTCACAATCATCATTTTGAGAGAAATTTCCCTTCTCTTATCAGTAGAAGCAACTGGTTATAAAAATTACGATGAATTTTCCGGAGACGAGTTTGTTCTCGAGTAGCTTTTGGAAGAATCAAAAGCAAAAATTTCGCGCTCGCGCTAGTGATTATCTTAATTGTGTTTTGATATGGTTTTTTATGTATTTTAATTTATTCTAAGTGCAAAATTGTGAGCGAATATCTTGATTGAAAAGTAATGAAAAACATTTTGACAAATGTAAAATTTTATACAAGTTTTGAATTGAGATATAGAAACGAAAAAAACTTGAACATTCGTAAAAATAAATAAATCTGTAGAATTCTCATAGCATTTACTTTTTTTTCTAATGAATAAATTTTGAAACTTTTCCCTGGAATTCAACAAGTTGCAGACATTCAAGTTTTTCTTCCAACTTCACTTCTTTTAAGATAAGAAGCTGAAAAGCTCAATTGAGTGTAAAGAATGAGGATAATTTATACTTTTTAGCATGTGTAACAAGTACAGGTGCAAGAAAGCCACGGAAAGTTTTATTAAGAAAACACTTTAAGTCCCATTGGGAGAATCACTTACCCACTTGTAGTGTAAAAAATGTGTATTATCTAATTCATTTTAAGAAAAAGGTGAAAAATATTTCAAAGTGAAATCTCAAGATTTTTTAAAGGTAAACTTTGCTCATTATCTTCACTAATGAAGAACTCTTCAATGTTTCTCTAAGGATTCCCTCGAAGAAAAGTATAAAATATATCACAAGACTTTTCTTTGATGAGCTTTCTTAAGAAAATTTTAAAAATCTTTTCATTAAAGAAAGGTTTTTACCTCATGACTGCTTGCATGAAGAAAATTCTGAAGAAAATAAATAATTTCATTCCGTGTAAATAATTTCTTGATGAGATATTAATAATTAATGTAGCTGTAGCATAATGTGAAAGCTAATATTAGAAGTGAAACATAAAACAAAAATAAGAAAAAAAGGAAATGAAGATTAACATTCTCACTTCACATATTTCTTTTTATTCTTGGATGCTTCCTAAGAAAAAAATGTCACAATTCCTCCCTCGTTTATAAAAAACAACACAGATACATTTCTATTAATACATTTCCAGAGGCTACTTTGAAAACTCTTTATTCTTTCTAAAAGGAGAACATTTTCAATAAAAATAAAGCTCTATTTTGGGAAATCTTTCAGAATAATATTATCCGTGACACGCTTAATATAAACACTTAATGAGAAATTAAGGACAGCTTTTAAGCTTCTTCCAAGAAGATTTGATGCTTAAAAAGAATCTCACGTAACACAACATTATACCCATGAATAATAAGCTTTTGAATTTTTAATTATTAGACAGCCTTCCTAGACTTCTCATTTCAAGAGCGGAATAAAATTTCGTTTCTTTATGACAAATACTAAACGCTATCATTTTATTCTCATTAATAATTTGTGCATTGTTACGAATACAAAGTCATCAATCAAAAAAGTAAAATAAACTAATGAACCTCATAATTTGAATAAATACGCTTAAAAGCTCTTTTGGAATTAGAACTACAAAAAAAATTAAATACACGATCCTAATTAAGAGCTTGTGGCAGCCATTATTCTTAGCGTATCCAATTATTTCTTCATTTCTCATACACGAGAAAGGTAGAAAAGGAAACAAAGGAGAATTGGAAGTAAAATAACATGTAGAAATCTTCATGAATAAGTAGAAGGAAAAAACATTTGAAATAAGAGGAAAGCTTACGTGAAAAAGTTGAGGAAACCGTAATGAAAGCTGTAGCAGAGTATTTAATGCCTTTTAGCTAACTTCTGCTGTCTTAACTAACTTTGAATGTTTCTTTAAAGTATCATTTATGGTGAAGGGAAACCTTTAGTTCAATAACATGATTTGAAATCATAAGAATAAAAGTATCAATGCAGTTATTCTGGTTGGAACATGTGGAAAACTCTTCCAGATTAAATGAATAAAACATATTGAACATAGGTACATTGTCAAAGTTTGTTAGAAAAATATTACTTACTAAGAAACATCACAGAAATATTGAAAATATGGTATTAATGTGACAAATGTTGATACAATATTTCCATTCGTTTTATGAAAAAAAAGAAAACAATCAATAAATCCACCTGAGGTTCTGCTTCATGAGGCGCCTAAAAAGTTGATTCTCCACATCTAACATATGGAAAAAATGTTTATTTTGTAAAGCCCCATACAAGAAAGAACAAAAAAATTCATCCATGTTTCGTCACTTATCGCTGATCGAGATATATTTGGATGGAAGGAAGATTCTTACCCAACGAAAACACTTAATTTTTCTCACATCTTGGGATTTCAAATTTATGCTGAGATAGAGAGAAAGATTTTTTTTTAAAATTCAAAATAAAGCCATTTCCAAAGATTTCATATCATCGAATTTCGTATCGGATTTGAAGAAAACAGGAAAGAAAAATATTTATTCTTTTTAAGTAAATTTGCTGTTGCTTTATCAATCTTTTTATATCATCCACCTTTAAATTGAATTCGGAAAATTCAATTGTTATCTCGTCTCGCGGAAAACATCGGGGAACATCGTTTCCCTTTTCTGACATTTAATGACTCATAAAAATTTAATGTTGCCGTCAAGTTTTCCTCTGCTTTCCTCGTTAGAGGATCAAATTTATTATAATTTCATTATTGTGATTAAGTTTAAATTAAATTCTTTGCGTTTTTCTTTTAAATCAGACTTTTATTGATAATTTTGTATAATTTCGCTTCGTAAGTTCTTTTAAAAATGGCCATTGAATAAAGAATCTTGTACATTCTCAGCCTTCCTTCATTTCCATTACATGTCGTTACTTATGGCAGTTAGAAAAGATTAGAAAACCAAGAAAATTATGCGATATGCGTGCTTTAATGCTTTTCAAAGTTATTTTGTTTCAGGAAAAATTTGTTTTATGACATTTAGTTGTTATAACAAAAGACCCGAAATGGAAATCCTCAAATATCAAGAAAGAAAGTGACCTTAAGAGAATTTTATCAGCCTCAGGTAAAAAAAGCTCAGGTTTCCACTCATTCATGGTTAAGATGAAAAATAATGAGAAAGAACAATTTTCTTCATCCATAACATGTCTACAAAACCATTTTCCAAATTAGCAAATGTCTCATCCAAGAATTCTTAAAATTGTATAACGACGAATGTCTCGACAAAAGGAAAGCAAATCTTAATAAATAATCCCCAGGTGGGTTATCTTCAAAATGTTTTGTGTATGATCAACAACTTGGAAGCTTAAATGAAGATTAGAAAAGCTTATCGTATTATACAATCGGTTCAATGTGAAATGTGAATGAGAAGAAAAAAGATATGTTGAATGTGTGCCGATGGGTTTGAGAATAAGAAACTGTAAAGTAACAAAAGAATCTTGTAGGTTATTTTCGACGCAACCCTCATCATCAGGTGGTGCTATAATAAATTACGTAAGATATGGAATTTTTTGTGTCAAACATTTTCCAAAAACATTAAATTTTTCCGTCGCCATAATGCGTCGTGGTCTTCATGATTGTTGATTATGAGAAGTTTAAGTGATTAATCATTTCACTTTCAGTGAAATCATGGGCGTGATCATAATGACATTCGTAGGTAAAAAATAACGACTTAAGAGACAGAACATGATGATTTATAAGAATTTCTTCATTGCCGTGTTGAATAAGCAGATCATGAGAGTACACACTGTGTTGCTAACGGATATGCTTCTAAGATAAGCTGTTACAAGACAAAAAAATATCAAAGAAAATTTCTTGATATTCATCTTCATCAAAAAAAAAAATAAATAAATAAATATGAAAGTTGAATCAGGGTTGAAGGTTGTCTCACATAAATATATTTTCCAGTACAAAATTCATTTAACAGAATGTAATCAGGAATAAATGGTTAACGGAATATGAATTTGTGGTAGGTGCGATTTGATTCTGCCATAATATTATTCCGTAAACATAATAAATGTAGACAAATGCAACATATCAAGCTTTATTTGAGAAGATTAAAAGCTTATTTTCGATGGTTTTAATTGGAGATATGACCTTTTCATTCGTAGATTTTATATGATTAAATAGAAATGTGATAATATAATTATTGGAAATCTATGGAAACTAATTATTTATTTATGACGTAAGCTTTAATATTATGAGAGAAAAAATTTATAGGAATCCCAAATTAATTAACGTGCTTAAAAAAAGTAATTTAACATTTATTTTATTCTATTCTCAGGATACCAGAAGAAGTTTTGTTTGGAAAAGGTCAAAATCGTTACAAAAATGTCAAGTCAGCAACGTGCTCGGCTGCCTCAAACACCCAACAATCCAACTACGACAGCTGCAAATAATCCTCGATTTCAGAACATTGACGTGCAGAACAATACAATCTCATCTGTGTCTGGTGCAACAGACGCTTTCACAACCAACAGCCAAATGTACAACAATAATAATATCAACAATGATGATACTTTGAATGCCTTGGGTCCGGATTTGGCGATTTCCACAAGCCAAGTTCTTGACAATCTTACTGATCACGAACGCTCAATTATTTTGGATGTGCTGAGTCGCGATGAAAGCATTCGTCAACGTGAAACTGCTCGGATATTGTAAGTGAATCATTAATATTTCCCTTACACATTTAGATCAATTCCTGTTAGATATCACTAAAAGTTTCATCGTTTTATGGTATTATTGATTAAATTGTTATGCATCAATTTTATTATTTCCTAAAAATAATTTTTTTTGCTCCTATTGACGAAGTTAGCTTTATTATTCACCGAAACTGTTGCGTGCTCGTCAACAATTCAAACTAAATTTAAATACAAATTTATCAGAAATCGTTGATATCTAATCTTAATAGAATGTGAACGTTCATATACTTATTTATCATTGAGTATAATTGGCTTATCACTTTCTTGAGAGAGAAAATCGATAATCTGGCAATAAATTTAACGCTGCTCGTTAAGCAGAACATTTCTTGACATAATTTAGATAAAATCTGCTTGATATCAGCAGGCTGTTGCAAAGTTTTCGGATTATTTACGCTCTAAGTATACATACATGCCTCACAACATTTTCCTTACTCAAGTCGATTGCTTTATACGATTTATGTTTAACATTGCTTTACTTTACTGCTTCCAATTTGTCAAAACGAAATATTTTCCGAGAATTTATAACGTTTTCACTTGGAAACGAAGATGATTTTTTTTCACATGACGACTACATTTTACTCATAAGAATAATTCAATTTCTTACATTCACTTGATAAATATTAAACTGTTTTTGTGTGTAGTTTGACAACGAAAATAGATCAAAAATATATTACTGAATAATTCATCAAAGCTTTTATGTTTTATGTTTGATTTATCAGAATCAAAAACATGAGCAATCAACTTGATTAATTTACAATAAATTACGGATCGATAAACATTTGTAAAATTCAACTTTGAGAAAATTCATGTTCTTCTTTCTAAACATAACAATGTTCTTGACTTCGTTCAATGAGTCCACTCAGCAACGATTACCTGACAAAAGCTGAATAAATATTTAAGGCAATGTCAAGCACATCAACTTCTCGAATAAGAAAAACAGAAAAGAAGTACGAAATTATTCTGAAAACGAAAGCAAACTGTTTGAGGTAATTTCTAAGAGACCTGCCTAGGAAGGAAACAAACAAAAATCCTTTTCCTTTTAAATGATGCCTTCGGTAGTATAATGATATGTCCCTGGAAGGGAATGGAATAAATAAAAAGTCCCTACAGTTTTTTAGTCTTTTCCTTAGATTTCTATTCCATTGCGACACATTTGACAAAAAAACTCGAAGATTTTATTTTATTTATAAATAAACGTAGAACTAACTTTTTCTGCTTCACCAAAGGCTTTGGAATTCATTTCAATACAAATGGACTTTTAAATAAGTCATTTTATATAACAGTGAAGCACGGTGCTTCAAGCACCCTTCCCAAAAGCTTATTTGATTGAAGCTCTTTTGTTTCAAAGTATTTTCATCAAAGTAAGAGACATTAATGCGACTTTTAATTTAAACTTTCTGAGGATCTCCTTTCTTATCTTCAAATGATGATAATATGGAATTTTATTATTATTTGTCTAAAGATACAGGTGAACAGAATATTCAAGAAGTCCGTTAGAATGTTAAAACGCAATTCGTTCTTTTCATAAAAGTTTCTTGTTTTCTAATAAAATGGGGAAATACAATATATCGAATTTAATTATTCAGAAAAAACTTTCCTTTTCAATTAGTAATGAGTTTATTAACCAGTCGGTATAAATCGATAATCAATTCATATTTCGATAGAAATTTTCATTGTTGCAGGTTCTGGAAAAACTTTGAAAATTTTATGTAAATATTTTATTATGCTAAAATGCTTTTATTCGAACTTCTTAATTTAAGAACTTCAACAAAATTTAGCTTCTTAAAGCACTACACTTTAATCTTTATTTTCCCCATAATTCTTCTTTAAAGTTTGCAGTTTATGATTACGATGAAAGAGATAAAAGGAATCATGTTCTACTGGTTGTTAAAGTTGGGAAACTAAACTTTTATTGCATTTTTCCTCAAGTAGCTTCTCTCGAAATAGAAAATTTTCTCAAGGAGATGCTATTTTTATGAATTTCCAGTGTTCAGAACACGTTCTGCTATATATCATACATTTAATATTCCTGCTTAATTAATGTAGGTAGTTTTTAATTGAATCATATGTAGTTGCAAAAAAGGAGCAATCAGAAAAGTTTTTAAGCTGAAACATGTATTTTAAAATAGCATTACAATTCATTGTTGAGATAATATCTGTAGAATGACAAGAAATGCAACAATGCATTCATACATTTGAAAAGGAAAATGAAAACATCCGCTAACTACCTGTAGAGTGTCTCGAGGAAAGAAATAAACAACAAACAATAACGAAAAATATTCATCCATTGTGAATACCTCTAGTAGGAAAAAGTTCTCGGATTGAACAACAACAGGTAAAACATTCGGAAACATTACACACATATAAAGCCTAGCATCGAGTGCTATAAACCTCGTTTGTTGAAAAAAAGCGATGTTTCATTTCAAGTTGTCGTTGGGCTCCGAACGGTTGTTAATCGAACGAAATTTTAAAACGAAATAAAGAAAAAAAAATTAAATTAATTTTAATTAAATGTTGAGCAAACATTCAGAGAATCTCAATTAAAGATGAATTTGATGATTTTGTGAAATAATTTAAAGGAAAATTAAAGATAAACAGTTAGTGCTGTGTAAATATTTTAATCAAATAATTGAAGCGAAATTTTGTTCTCGTTCTGAAAGCTAAAATTCAACCAGTTTTTGAATATCTTCACGAGAAAGAAGAACATTTCGATAAAAAAAAAGAAATATTTTGTGTGTGTATGTGCTTGTCGATGTTGAGAATATAAAGAAATAAATTCTTCATCTTTGGCCTCTCGAAAGAAATAAAGAAGTTCAAGCAAGTGTAAGAAGGAAAATAAATTTTCGAGAGTAAGAAATTCAATTACGCAAGAAATTAAGAAAAAGTGAGAAATTCTGAGATCAGTCTGAGAATATTTTAAGGATTAAAAACGTTTATTTGAAGATAAATTCCGAAATTATTTCCCCTGGAAGACTTACGGATAAAGGTTAGTTGTATATCTGCTGCTTTATACTTAATTAGATTTTAATTACATCTCTAAAGGCCAGAAGTAAATGACTTAACCAGCCACTTCAAAACATTGTATTGCTGAATGAGAATATATAAATATTTCTTTGACACTGACAAACTATGAATTGAGTCATTAGGAATTCAATCCTGTGAACTGTTTAGTATTCTTCATGTTTAACCACGTCTGCTGAGAAAATATTCTCGTATAAGAAAGTATAAAGAAATCACTTTAAGAATGAATCTTAGACAAATATGAATTCTTGAATTGTACTTGCGTACGTGTATATGTGGAGGTGTTGTCTAATGTCTACCTAAAGCCAGAGGTAAAAGAATATCGTCCCAATTTTTAGTTTCATTTTCTTCAAAGAAAGTAACGAGAGACACATTTGACTGTTTGTTGAGTCATGTGAATCGAAAAAACCGCAAATATGCAATTCATATAAGAAACGTCATGAATGTTGATGCCTTTTATGAAGTGAAACAAGATCTTAGTTGTCGATTGTTGAGAAAAGAGGGAAAAATCTTTCAATAGAGTTGAGAATTAACTTTTTTTTTGTTGAATGAGTCACGAGTATGAATGACTCGAAGTATCGCACTGCTACGGATGTTGAAATTGTTATGAGTTCGAAGCAGTTCAGGTACAGATTATTGTCTTTATATCAACGGTTAAGAAAACAATGAAAAACCAGATTCAGGCTACCAGATCACGACCAGAAATTGGTTAATCGAAAACAGTTTCTGGGGTGAGCCCGTCAAGTAGCCTTCTCAACTTAGCTTTGACCTAAACAGTGATTGATGAAAGAGATTAAATGTTCCTGTGTATCCAACATTGCGGATAAAAATGCGTGAATAATTAAAACCCTCTCAGTTTTTGGAGAGCGGTGAGCTCTTACACACGTAAAATAGCATTCAGGGTTCATGACATTTTACTTATAAGTACTCGAAGGAAGGAAAAAAAAAGTAAGTAATGAGAATGCGAAGCAAAGACATTAAGTTTACGACCCGTCGCACCGTCACAACCATGTTGTAAAAAATATTAAAAAATTTTAAGTTCGCTAACTTGATTTCACATGAATTGAAGTTTCATTGAACTTGATGTTGACTTTTTTCATTATGAGACAAAGTTGCGCAATTAATAACTGTGAAGTGCCTGTCCAAAGAAGAAACGTCAATTGAAGAGAATCTTCATTTCCACAATCGAACATTTCGATTTATTGGATTGATTTCCTATGTCAAAACCTATTATAGAGACAACAGTGAATGTTGTTTTTTTCCCGCTGCCATTGACAGCCGCCGGTAATTCGAAGAAAATATGAACTGACTGCAAACAAAATGATAAAGATTCTTCCTTCACATGTTCATGATTGTATCAAGACAGGAAAGACAAAATATCCGCGAGTGTTGTTGTTTCATCGAGATCGGGTTATACGCAAGACTAAACAAGGAAACAAGAATTTGATGCTCTCGAAAAGTTAATAAAAACAAACAGAATACATATCAAAATAAAGTTACTTAAGAACGATGGTGGACTCTGGACAAGCGAAAATGAACAGCAAAAATAAAAAAAATAAATACAAACCGGTTCTTCGGCTGCTCACTTTTACATATCATTTATGAAACAGTCAGAGTTAAGTGAAATCCCACAGAATGATCCAAAAATAAATTTTAACTTTTCCTTTTCTTTTAAATTCCTTTCGGCTCCATGGCAGTAAAGAAACGTGGAATATTCTTTGAGTATAAATATTAGATGATCTTTGAAATTCATGGTTTTAGGTCTTTCATCTGTTGGAAGGGTTGCTTTCATTTGCAGCTTCATCGTTCGAATTTCAAATATATTTGAAGCGCTTTTAAATTTATATAACTTCAGTTTACAACAGTTTCTTTTAGCCCGTCGTACTGAAAGCTTAAAAAATGAATGCATGAGCAGACTAAACGTGTAAATAATTGAAGAGATTTGCCTTCGTCGCAAAATATTTATTTTCTGCTTAAAAGCAAAATTCACAACACATAAATCACACAATAGAATGGATGTTCGATGAATCTTGTTGAAAAATTAATTCAATAGTAAACAAGACGGATATTTATTGAGAAATCACTCATTGTGGTAAATAAAAAGTAACTGCGAATTGTTCGGAAACAAGATGAGAAGTTTTTTCTTTATTTTCTTAATAAAGAAGAACACAAAATGCAAATGGCAATGACCTTCCAACACTTAGCAGTCTATTACTCTTTAAACTAATTATTTACTCAACCTTACCATGTCTGGTTAGATGATCTAGAGAAATATCAAAAATTGTTTACCACATTTGGTTATATCTGTTGGATCATCTCAAATAAGAATGCTATTAAATAAGAGCAACATAAACATGTTGGAAGTGCTACACGTATATTTATGTTAACAGCCATTTTAATATAAGTGACCTTACAAAAAAGATAAAAAGTTACTGACAATCTCTCTGAATTACAAAATCATTTGCAAATAAAAATCTAACAACATAAATTTCTATTTTCTTCTACAATGACGGAAAACTTTCAACATAATTTTAATTTAAAAAATTTCATGCCATCCTCAAGGCAAACTCCATTAAATGTCAAGATTTTTAATGTTCAAGAAAAACTGAAAGCACATCAAGCGTAAGCTTCGCTCGGGTTGTCTTCTAAAAGTCAGAATTGATATTTCTAAAAAGTAAGAAATGAAGAAAGAAATGAAGAAGAATCAAAAGATGTTATGTTTAGATTTAAAAGAAATCATAATGAAGAAATGTGTACACGTTGTGTAACCAACAACTTGACTACTTCTTGGAGCAAATCTGTTCCAATTATGTGATTCGATTCTTCAGAAGACACGAACTCGTTGACTGAAATCGAAAGTAAATTCGAAAGGTTATCGATCTTTAAGGATTTTGTGTGTATTGTGGTTGTTATTTCCTTTCCACCTAGACATTTGCTTTTATCGATGATATCCTCGACCTTTTTAATTGACTATACTCTGCTTTTAATAGACCATTATTAATGATTTCAAGTTCGCCTTCACTTCATTTTTCTTTTCAATAAAAAATTCATTTTTGTGAAATTAAAGCAAATAGACGAAAGAATGTCAACGTTAAAACAGCTTCAAAGCATGAAATGAAAATATTTGTCGCTTGCTGGAAATTAACACCAATTCTTCTTTTCCCCCTAGTTGCAAATAACAAAGCTACATGAGATTCATAAAGTATTTGAAGAGCGTTTAAATTTGACACTATGTGGATTTTGTTTCTTATCATAAGCTTTTTCAATCTAATAAAAATTCAACGCAACATTTTTCTGCCACCATAAAATCAATATTGATGAAACGATTTTGTAAGACAAGATTTTTTCTCATGTTTGGTTCATTTGTTCATCGATTTTTGAACTTTCTTAGCATTGTAAGCTTCATTTCAAATCTGACTCGCTTAGGACATGTTTCTTTTTCTTCAACAGATTTCCACCATGCTTCATTTATTTACCATCATTTTACTCCTTCTCTCTCTGTATATAAATACATCAAAATTTATTTCTTGAAAGGAAATTGGATATCATCAGAAATTTTCTTCAACTCATGTTTCTGTTTTTCTTAAAGAAACTCAACCCTACCTAGCATCCTAATTCCTCGCTCGTGTAGTCATAATTTAAATATTTTAGTCAAGGTTGAGTCAGCTAACATAACTGGTTAGTTTACCTTTACATTGATCAGCCATTTATTTAACCTAGTGTAGCTAATTAAAATTAAATAAAACAACCTCTTATCACAACATGACGTTGATTTTCGATTTAATTAATTCATCTACAGGACAAGTTTTGTTACAAAGTTTTAAGGTAATAAAATGTAAAGCTTATTAAAGATGATAAAACCAATTTATTGAATTTTTAATTTAATGAGTTGAGTACAAAATTTATTAAGTAACAAATTTTATTTATGTCGCTTTAAGCCTCGTTACGATATCCTTGTAAATTCAATTTTCTTTAAATATTTTCTTACAATTTTTTTAAGGTAAAGCTAATTTAAGACGCGCACCCTAAAGACACAAAAAAAGAGATTTTTTAGGACTTTAGGCGGTGAAAGTAAAACAAACGGAAATTATTTGAAACGATCAGGTCTTGGAACTTGAATCAACATTGGAAAAATTTTTTCATATTATTCACTGAATTTGTAGCGAAAATCTTCATATCAATAAAGATTGAAAGTAAAGTTAATCAAGATTCAGAGCCCTTTTCGGAAAGAGACATTTTGCATAAAAATGATATAAGCTTAAAGTATCCAAAAAGGTTCTGTCATGTTTCAAATTCAGAGAAATTGAAGGCTTAGATTTTCTAGGAAAAATATCAGTCGTTAGATTAATATTTCCGTTGTGAAGTTCTCAAGGAGATATAAATTATTCAAACACCGTTTTATTTGCCATCATCACAGTGACCGTTATAAGTCACATAAATGTGAGCTATTAAACAATGGAAGTGAACATTTATGAGATCAACCGATGCAGATTTAACAGCTCCACATACATAAATATAATGTTCAACGACACATGAGAAAGTAAAGCTCATAAAATATTCTGCATTTTTAGTCGGTGACATGAAATGTTTTTTAAATCTACCGTGACTGGGAAGTTTAATGTTCGATGAAATTCATGATAATTTAACCAATCATGTAAGCTTTTTCAGCTTACCAACTAATAGCTTTTTAAACTGCAAATTCAACCTTTTTCATTTGTCGAGTTAGTATGCAAATAAATTTTTTCTTAATTAAAAGTCTGTCAAAACAAAAATCGAATATCAAACTAATTTTTGTCGAAATATTTTTCATTTAATTTCACATTGAAATTGTTTACTCCCACAAATACTTTCTTGCCATCATGTTTAAATGATAAAAGCAACATTGTACAAAATTTTTCTGTTACCTACGTTGAACTTTTTGAAGTTTTAATCTGAACTGAATTTGTTCTCATATTAATTATGTCGAATAATTACGGGAAACAAACTGCGGTAGAGAGCTCAATTCAATAGAGTTCTACTTTTCCATAATTTTCAGCATGAAATTTATTTATAAAATCAACAAGTTTTTATACATTCTCTTATTATAATGATGAGAAATGTCAAGTCATTAGCAAGGCAAATGCATGAAATTAAATCAAGCGAGGAAGGGCACAAGGGACTGAATGTTCATTTTTGCCATCTAACATCGAGTGTGTGGGTTCATAGAAAGAAAAAAAGAAAGAAAACCTAAACTAAGCGTTTTTATTTCTGAAGAATCAACAAGTTTATTCATGAATCACATTCGACCAGATAGAAAGTCATCGACAATTTACTTTCATGTCTTTCCGTCTCTAAGTGTGTGTAAATCAAAATGTCATAGGAATATGTAGGTAAACAATCATGTTGAACAGCAAATACTGAATGTTGATGTTCTTACTTACGAACCGCCCCTGTTGCATTTTTTATGTGACTACCTGGACTTTGAAAATTACTCAGCGTTTTCAAGTTTTAAATATAAATTATTTCACTTAGCATTTCAATTAAAAAATCAACATTGGCTTAATTAATATTATAAATGAAATGTTTTAAATTGGAATCGCTCAACGATAATCTTACAAAAATTCTGCTCTAAAAATAACTCGTCAAAAGTTGATACTTCAACCTCCTGTCTAAAATAAATGTTAAAATGGAAACAAAATCCCAACAGAATTTGTTACAAGCTATCAAATAAATATTTAATTTATTTATTTGTATCCAAGTGATGATACCAGAAACTCTAAATAAATATTTGAAATGTAAAACTTTCAAAAGGTTAACAAATTTGAATTTTTAAACTTTTCCTGAGAGTCATCTTGTATTTATTGATTAAAAATATTGTAAAACAAATATCCATTCTACTTTTTAAATGAAGTATTATAAAATTTTAGAAATGTATTCAAAGCGTTTGGTTTGAAATTATTTCAAATTATGTATTCATTAATTACAATGCAATGTAAAAATAATTTCTATTCTTATGTTTCCAACATCTCCACATATCACTGGCCTATTTTCCCTGATGATATAAATATATAGACAGCTTTAAAATCAGGTAGATGCAAGCAATAATGATTAAGTAAAGTAAAGAAACGTGCTCCATTATATGATGGAACACTTGTTGTTGCTGTTTAAAATCATTTTCCACATATTTACATGCAGTCTGAAGTGTTACGATTCTTGATGCAGGAAGTATTTCACTTTCTAGTCTTTGTTTTCTGCATTACCATCTGATGTTGATATTCATATTTCCATTTACTTAATACGAGTATTACGAAGAGAGAGAGAGAGAGAAAGATGTAAAGTCTCTGAAAGTACAATTCGGATCAACAAACATTGGAATGACTTAATATTTCATAATTGCTTTTTGTTTATGGATGAAAGGCACGTGAATGCTTCAAAAATTTCACGATCTGATGAATGTCTTGTTGGAATCGTGCTTAAGCATTCATCACGACGAGGGGAAAAGATGAAACTATTAGAAGTATTAAAATTTCATAACAGTGAACGGTACCTAAGTTTAATATTTAAATTTCCTTTTTACTTCACTTCCAAACATCAAATATTTGAAAAGTCAAAGCACTGAAACTTATTAAAACTTCATCTGCATTTGAAGTATCTGAAAATTTCAAATCATTTTTCATAATCAACTCCAAATTTGTTGCATTTGTTGGCGAATCTAATAACATAATCTTTTCACCAAACTTAAACTTAGAGAATAAAAAATTCGAAACTTCAACAAAGAATAATTTTTCAGAAAAGAAAAGAAAAGTGAAAATTAGATGAAAGTTTTCTTCACTTAAGTTCATTTGTCTTGTTTAAAAATTGAACAAATTTCCTCTCGAGTCACTCAAAAAGATGTAAATTATTATCTTCTTTATGATGAATGAACAGTAAACAGCACTTTTCAAGAAAGAAAAAATTCCTAAGACAATGCAAGCATTGAAGACTCGTTCACCATATGTGAGTAAAGGTTTGTTTGTTGAAAGATAACCAAACATAGTAAGAAAAGACAATAATAAGAAAACGGGAACAAACGAAGCTTACTTTTTTATTCGTATCAACTGAGAAATGTGCTTCAAGCTATTTCAAATGATTATGTTGCAATAAATTGATTCTCTTAAGCTTCCATATGTTTCTTATTTAATTTCCTTCAGAATGATTTTCCTTTTCAATCTTAGAACTTTTGTAACATTTGAATGCATTCCTTATTTTACAATATTTTAAGAGGAGAATTGAAATCTGAAATCGGCGATCCAGAATGGTTTTGACTAAGCATACAACTGAAAAATTTACAAAGATTTTCAATTTAAACATCATGAGCAAGCTTATTCATGCTTTCTTATCATTCGACCTCATGAGAAAAGAAAGCAACATTGTGGAATAATTTCTGTAACTTTTACGACCTTAGCTTCACTCAAATACTTGGGTGTGGATGGTAAACATTACCGAGAGTGTTTTTTAGCTTTAATAAAACATTTCCATTGGTTGTGTAAACAAAAAACGAAAACAAACCTTTGTGTGAAAATCCGAGTAATGTTTTGAGATTGTCGCGTAAGATACAAACGAGAAAATTGAAACAAAGTGGCTTTGTGACAAGAAGAGCATTATCCTTACTAGTAGGTAATAATGAAACGAAAAACTATCACAAAAGTATTACATTTGATGTTGAAACATTTAACTTTCATAACGATTGAATTGAAACCTAATTCAGTTCTCTTACATAACAGAGTTGTATCGTCTCAAAATCTCAGCACTTTGAACGTTTAATTTAATAAAGTGTTCAATGAAAGTTTCGCAAGTGATGATTATCAATATGTAGTAGCTATTCCAAATCCACTGGTTCACTTCGTCATTGTATATTCAATTAAGCAGTCACAATTGAGTGTTAGAAAGTCATTCGACTGTTGTTGATGATGTAACTCAGAATTTAATGAATGAGTGTCGAGGAAATGAATAAAGTTCTCTATGTTGTGCGAACCGTTAATGATAGTAATTACTGTTTTGAATATTAATACATTTCATGCCATTTCGGTCTTTCATTTAGCTGTCGATTCTAGTCAACAGTAAAAAATAAATAAAAAAAGAAAACTGTTTCATCGTTGGATAGTAAATAGAAATATCGAAAATGTAATTGGAAACGTTAAACATTATTAAGTTATTGACTGACAGAAATATGTTTGCAATCAACAGGAATGTTTATTGAGGTTGAAAGAATATTTTGCACGCTTCTTTCATCAATACTTCACTTTAAAGAATAAACAAATTTTATGTTGATTTAATTTTCATGCATGAGCTTTATTTCGTGTAGGGAACGTTACCTTTTATGAGCGAAATGTTATGTATAATCCATAAAGTGTAAAATTGTTGGTTAACCCAACGTTGAATCACCAAGTCCTTTTAATTCGTTATTCGTATAAATATCAGGAGGGTAGTTGACACAATGAAAACGTGTTAAAAGCTTTACCTATTCGAAGCTGAATATATATTGATTTTTCTTTCCCTTTTTATATCATTTATGAAAGCATTTATGTTCATATCGACGTATGTTCATATTCTACAGTCTACTTGAAATGCTCATTGAGTCAGCTTAATTTTTACAAGCTATGAGCTGTTTAAGTGCAGGAAATTTAATTTTAAAACGATATAAGCTAGAACGATGGTTTAAGCGTAATGGCAGTTCAATGAGTAATGAATATTTTAAATGTTTGTCTTTGATCAATATTTGCTGATTATTAAATTAAAGCCAATGTTGTCGATGACTTAAGATAACAATCGTAAATTATCTATCACTTTCTATGGGATGAGAATAACATGACAAACTCTTAAATCTATTAATAAATTGCCATCGTTGCTGAGCTTGAAAATCGATATCACATCTTTTTATTCAGTCAGTTGAGTTTAGTTGAATTAATGTTTTCATCACAATTGGTGAATATTTATTCTTTTTTGAAAACATTTATTCTTATCGTTTAGGATGGGCTTCGATTCTCTCGAATTAACTTGATGAATATAAAAAAAGAAAAGGAAACATCAATAAACATAAAATTAACATTAAATCTCTTGATACTGACATGTACATATTGGTTAGAGTAGCTGGGGTGGAGAAATAAATAAAGAATATGAACGTAGCATTATGTGTCAGGCACACTTATAGGAAAACTATAAAACTTGCTTCGTCATTATATGTAATGACCGGTTCAATGGCCTCATTGACTTGATAACATACTTGCCTTCTCTAGAATCTCTGGAGCTTCTCGAAAGTTTTATTGAGATCAAAATATTTGTAACTTTATGTAATGAAATAAACCTTTTTCGGTCCACATAATAAATAAATTTATCGACATGACGAGAAATTATTTTCTCAAAAGCTTTCAAATTCAGAATAATGAAAAATTCTTATCTACATTTAATTGAACGAAAACATGAAGTCTTTTGATGAATTTGTAAATGAAAGAATGAATTTCAATACTTTCTTGATGCTTGATTTAATTATGACCTGTTTTTTAATATTTTATTCAAAAGATTTTCTCCGAAAGCCACCTTTGAAGTTCAAAGTCAGAAGTAAAAGAGAGTTAAATATCGAGCTTATGTTTTAGAATCTCAACACGATCTGTGGGATGCCAAATTGGCTAAAGCATAAATGCATTAAAGTATTAATAAATATAAATTTACATTAGATACTTCTATTAGCATACTTGCTTTATCTTTCCGACTTGTAATGTAATGCTGATGGTTTACATTTCGCATTTCTTAAAATAAATCGCCTGAAACCTTCTGTAGAAAATCCACCAAATTGAATCCTACTCATCTGTGGTCCTTCGCAGCAGTATATGAGACTACACCAGAGATCTGCCTAAATAAAAATAATATTAGCTTTCATGAAGCTTTCACTTGCCAGACTCTCATGGTTGTTTAGAAAATATTTGCGAAGCTCCATTAACGTTTTTGTTCATGATAAATTTTATGCAGAATATCAACAAAAAAAAAAGGAAAAATCATCAAAGTTTGAAATGGAAACATGCTAAGATGACTAAGTATAATCATTATTATTTTATTCTATTTGAAAACAGGCTGACAAAAACAAATCGTAAAAGTTAGCCGCTTTTTTCTCGCAGTACAACGTTTAGAATATTCGCAAATGTCTTTTATGTCGCAATCAAAAAGTCAAGTGCACACGAAGAGCGGTACTGAGTCCCATGAAACTGCGGAAAGCTCTAAAGTAACATTTTTTGTTTATTTTTTCGCTGGAAATAACCTTTTTTATTATTAAAATAAACTTCAACATAAAATATTCATCTCAAGCGCGTTGACAATGTTTTTACGTCGAAACCAAAGCAAAAGTGTTCCAAATGTTTTCCATTTACCGAGAGAGCTTTTTTGAGTGTTTTCGTTTAGTTGCTTTGTGGTTCAGTTGTTAAAAGGTCGTTCATTCTTTTCAATGCAAAGTAACATGTAAGATTTCCTTTAAGGAGATAAAAGCATTTAATTTTCTTTGATTTCAAAAATTTAAACTTGTTGAATACTCTTTGCAATCATTTCGAACTCCCTCTCGAATTTTTCAGCGTCGCCAATTCGGCAAAAATTCATCTCGAAATGGCTTTCTCAGCTATAAATTGATACGGTTTTTATTTGCAAATGAAAAATGAATCAAATATTTAATTTGCAATTGGATAACTCGGTCATATTTCATGCACAAAAAAGTGTGAACGTAAAAATTATTTTTTTATGAGATTTATTTTTAAGTATCCTTTTATGATTTCTGAATTACTAATTAAGTCATAAATTCAATGCGCACTTCAAATGTCATATTTGAATAGTTAATTAAAATCAGATTGTTTTCTTGTTTCACAATTTCCCATTATTGTTACATATTTTATATAAAAGAAAACTTTCGCACTTTATAATAATTACGAGTTAAATATAAATTTATCATTCACTTTAATCAAGATGGATTAAGTTACTGCGATGTCAATAGCAACTTTGTTATGCAAAAGCTTTTATTTATTAACTGTACTCAATAAATTTAACCAATTCACTTTGTATGAATAACTAAGTAACAACCAAAGTGAAAGATTAAAACTATAAATCCAAAGATAATTCCATTGCAATGGAAATGAATACGTTAATTGTTTAAGTATTAGGAAACTCAGCTCAGATGTTTACAAATCATTAAATTCGAATTGTGCTATGAAAGTCATTAAGGGTAAGATTTCATTTCTATCATGAAACACTTCATGTTTGATTAAAAATCTCATCTCTGTTATTTATGTACATACTAATATGTAACAAGAAGTAATATTAATTAAGTTCTTAAAATTTTCTTTGAAATCACACAAATTTCTTAGATTGATTACGCATAGTTAAACATTCTAAGCTGCTTCGTAATTAATTAATAAATTATATATTATCGAAGCCAAACACTGTTTTCTTAGACAGGAGAAAAACGAAATCCGAGATTTCATTTAATGGAAATTTTCAATTATATAATAGATTTTTCTGAAATCAGACAGAACTCATTTTCGCCTAAATTATTTATATTTACATTCTCAAGAATCGCAACAAAATTTTGCTTAAAAGAAAACAATGTGTTTGTATTTACATCCAACTCAAAACATTGAAAATATTAATGTCTGCTCTTAATGATGTCGATAAAGCTTGTGGGGGAGTATTTCACTCGGAATATTTCAAGATCTTGTTAATTTGTTTACTTAACTGTAAGATATTTATTGCATAATATTTATTTTTACATGTGTTGAGTTCATCTGTTCAGTGATATGAAAACATTATTTTACACAAAAACATCCTGATTTGAAATAATACCATGAAACCAGAACATTTGAAAATGTTTAATCTTCTATCAAACGCCACACTCATTAGTCTCATTAATATTGCAGTCTACACGTCATTATAAAGATTGATTGCTGATCAGCAATATTTCATTTTAATGTTTTACTTCAAACAAGTTTTTGTTATTATGCGTTGTTATGAAAATATCAAACCGTAACCTTTAACCAGAAATTTAACGAGCTGACCAGGATGTGTATCAAATGTTTGAAATATCTTCTCAAATTGCAAATCTCTGAGCAATTTTTCAAATATCAACTCACCCGCTTCTTCTAATTTGACGTTAATGTCTGCAAAAAAATCTTGTTAATAATTTTTTGCCAAACATAGCAATGTCTTTTTACCCACTTGGATGTTCAAAGATATTCCATTAAGATATTTAATTTATCTTTTTGCGCATTACCTGCTAGCCATAAAAGGACTTGTCAATACTTTGCAAGTGTATTCATCATACTTACTGATTGATTTCTGCCTTTTTAAATAAATCGACAAATGTTTCTCTGAAAACAGATAAATAAAACATTTAATCAGAAATCTTTTTTACAATTAGTCTTACAAATAAGTCATCATGCCACGTCAAATTGATTTAATACTTAAATCGAATTGATAATTTTATATCTTTTTTCTTTTCTTGTTCCCACTAAGATTGAAATGTAGATCAGCTCTGCAAATTATCCGAAGTCATACCATAACTGATTCATTCATGTAAATCATACATTTAAGCAATTAAATTGAAACCATTTTTTCCTAATAAGTTTGCAATTTATTGTAAGCTTCTGTATTATGTTAAACGATTTTATACATGTGAGTGATCTGAAATTTAATCGACAGCAATTAATTCGAAGGTATCATTCGACAATGCTAAAGGTTACAGAAAGAAGAAAAGCCTTGGAAGCAAAATGCTCAGCAAGTCTATTAAAATTACAAAGCAAATCCGTTTTCATTTGAGTAAATATTCTGTGAGAACTGCTTCAAGTTCAGAAGCTTTCAGTCATAATTAGAACCAATTTATATCCAGATATGAATTTGTGGAAATATATTTAATGCAAACTCATTATTGCTATCAGCTAAAATAAAACAATTTGAATAAATTTTAATGTTTTGCGTGACGCAATTATTTAAATGAAGCATTCAATTTCGTGTGACAGTAAATCATACTCGAAGTTCGTGTGCTTAAAGTGAAGTTATCATCTTTCTTCCTATGCTAATGTTCGAAGTTAGCACACGATAGACTTGAGTATTAAATTATGATTCATCTGCCGTGTGTGAGTGCCATTATAATTTCATTCCTATAAAAGGAAAACGAGTTTGGTGTGATTTCTCATGTGGCTGCTCACTTTTTTTGGGTGCTCGTTATATTTCCCTACATGTCGAAGGCATGCTGACTTGAACGAAATCCATACGTTTTCCTTCAAAGAATAATGAACTCCAGAACTTACAGTAATGGAAACCACAATGTGAGTGTCTCGTAAAGCTTGAATTATTGTCCATGATCACAATCGATTATTCTTCAGAATCGTTCAACATGAAAAAGAATTTTTCTCGAAATTTTCAACCATTTCTCTCTTGTTTATGTGCGTTATTCGACACCATAAATCTTTTTCAACAAATCTGTTTCCCGTCTAAAGATTTATTGAATTCTCTTTGGATGTTTTTATGACCTTCGCTGTCTCCCAAAAACTTTCGTTTTAACTAGAAATTTTTAAGTAACTTTTCATTATTGATGTAAGAAGAAACCTACAGTTCGTTGTTGTTATTTAAATAAATATAACATCAACATAATTATTATCTAGACTATCTAATAAATTAAAAAAGTATATAACAGAGACTTCAAAAGATAATAAACTTAATTAATCTCAAGCCTCCACAAACCAAATATTACAAAGTTTCAAGCTTTAATTTGATTATCTCATCTCACCAGTAATCAAATTATTTCAAAATCTGTTGATGAAATTGTTCAAAGCTCATTGAAAATATTTAATGTTGATTAGATTGAAAGCTTTCTCTTTTTTTCGCTCCCTTTTCTTGTCTTGTTGGAGAAATAAAAACAAAATTGCAATGATAATTTTCATCATTATTTTTCAATTTCTTAAACTGCTTCAAGCAGATGGTTTTCAAATGATACTTTCAAATTAATAACAACCAAGTAACAACCAGCAGCATAGCATCAAAGTATCTAAAACTATAAAATAATGATATTGATTTTGAAATTATTAAGCTTCAAGTTTCGCATTTCTCTTTGAATTGAACTCATTAAAAGAACTGCGTAAAATATCGCTCATTCATTTGTACTAAAATATAAACGATAGGAGAATGCTTGAAATCTGTAAATTGATGTAAAATGGGATAAAATTAATCAGCAGGGTCTACCCTCTGTCACGCCTACATGTTCTTGAAACTTTCTTTCACTAAATATCTAAGAAGCTTTCATCGTAGAATAATCCATTAAGAATCTAATATTGCAAACACTATCGTCCAAATGTATTCCTTTTTTCACTTCAGAGTAAACATCAATAAGATAAACATTATTCAAATACATTCGCCATGTTTTACTTTAACATTCATGATTTTCTTGACAATCGATATTCAATCCTAAATAATTTATCATTCTTTGCTACTGTGAATCGTATTTATTTCTTTTTAATAGCCGCTAGTATGCTTTATTTCTTTTCCACCTCATAAATATTTCATCAAATCAATCCACAGAATAACATTGTGAGGTGATAAAAGATGCAGGGGTTAAAAAGTTCAAAAGCTTTCTAAAAGAAGAAAAGAACACCAACGCATGGTTTTATTTACTGAAAAACATTTACTCGATTAAAAAGCAGAGGATTCAGAAAACTTGTGTACATACTTGTAGATTACAAAAGTAAACAAACTATCAAAACATATTTGTAAAGGGTCATGTATGTGAAATCAGTATTGTTGCTCACGTTCCGCCAACCGACAATTGCTGTAGTAAACTTATAATTTGCATGAAATCCTCAGCTTCCGGACAATGTTAATTATATAAATGTCCCACATGTATCCTTTTTGTTTATTTTGACTCGTAGCATTACATAGTTAACTATTCATGAAAGTAAACATAAATGTGACCAATTACTCATCGTATGATACTGCCGAAAATGTAGCATTAATAAAAGATAACAATGATTATTACTCTCAGAGTTTTTCTACGTTAATAATGGTTGACTACCCATTGAATTTCGAATCGCTATTGATTACTTACACATGATTGAGATTTGTTAGCAAGAAAAAAACTTTCGCATAAATTATTGATGCTCTGAGTATTGAAAAATAAAATTAAAGATAATGTATGTCAGTATGTGTCTCATTATTAAATATTACATCAAACCTTTATTCAATTTGTCTGCTTCAAAGTAATCAATAGATTTTAGTTGTAATGAAATTCTAATGGTTATTTAATGAACTCTTATCCATTCTCATGTTGACAGAAAGAAAGTCGAAATGTCCTTTTAATATGAAACTTTTTGTATCGTCTACGATTGATTTTCAGTCATGATGAAATGATACGATACAATACGATAGAGAAAAGGAATTTTATTATTCATGAGAAATGAGTCACGTGCCATCACAAAAAAAAAATTTTTACTTCTTCATCGGCCCTTAGGAAGGGAAAAGTTCGTCAAGAGACTCTTATGAGATAAAAACTTCTTCAGCGAAATGATGAACAAAGTTGACATTCACAGACAATGCTCATTTCAATGATTGGAATTGAGTGAATAATTTCTTACTAATAATTACATCTATGGCTTCTTTTTCTTTTGTTCAACAGCAACTTCCAAGTACCCAAAGTTCTTTTTATGACTTAAGAAGCTTGAATATAATAAAAAAATGTATAAAGCTCCAATGGTAACCCTTTCTGTTGCCATTAACAATTTTTCGTTTTGTTATGTCCCAAGATCACGGTCACGTATAAGAAATATATCAATAGAATGAAAAAGAGTTCATTGCTTTCCTTCAATTTTCTTATGAATTGATGACATGTTCTACAAAACAACTGCTACTTTGAGGAAAGGTCACAAAACATCCGGCACATTGGGGAAAAGCTGACCATTGTCTCTTTCTATCCTTTCAGCATGGTTTTTTAGCTTACACAAATCTTTTAAGAGCTTTGAAAAATGTTCTTCTAAATCATCTATCAAGTTTCGTAACTCTATCTGAACTTCAACTTGGCAAAATTGAATGTGAACTCAAAGAAGAAGAAAAATTGTTGTAATGTTAGAAACGAACTGAAAACTGTCTATTTTTATACGAGTATACGCTAAGAGTTCAGTATCACATCATTTGACATCCATTAGGCTGAGAATTAGATGATGTTACACACGCATTCAAATTGTTTTGCTTGAATCCCTAACCTAATCCAAACGGAAGACACGTTTGTCGTGTTTTTCGTTCATTTAATAATGCTTGATTTGAGTAAATGATAGCAAGCATGAAATTGTGGAGAAATGTATGTTCACTACGATAGTATTTAGCCAAGCCCTACCAAACCCTTTAACATTATTAATAAATGTTTTGTCTCCAACTCAGCGTAGATATTTGTTGTCTTCTTCTTCCCGTTACAACATTAAATGTAAAACATGTTGATTATTACTTTATGTCTATAATCTGTGTGAACTAATAGAAAACTATTTTCTCTTCTCTTTCTCTCTTTGACATAACTGTGGACAAATCAATCACTTTTATATATTGAATTACACAATCAAAAAATATCACAAAATTTTCCACGGATTCACTCATTCACAACACGATCAAATGAATGCTTAATTAACTGCCTGCTCCCAGACTTTTACGTGCTGAACTACAAAACTTAAGGAAACGAGGTGCACTTAAAACTGGCAGTTCGTTAGACCGTCCTATAATTATTGAAACTAGTCGTTCATGTGCACGGTGTCGAGTATACTTAGGCCGAATAATCAATCGTGGTGCCCCATGTCGTGCCTGTAAGTTGAGAGTTTGCAAAGGATGTCGAGAGTTCACAAATAGGACTGATTGGGTGTGCGTCGTGTGTAATAAGCAAATGTGAGTCAAAATACAAAAAGAAAGAGAAACAATTTGTTGCTTTATCTAAATTACAAAGAAAACTTTTGGTGTTTCGCAACAAATGTTTATTCAAAATCTCACCACAAAAGCACTAAAATAAACTTAAACTGCACAATTTACTTTCATTCACTTATTTAGCTTCCATTAATGTTTACATTTCTTTGCTGTTTTTATTTCATTCAATTAGTCAAAGTATGTTACAAACGACTCTTTTAATCTGGTCAATAACCATTGAATTTGATTATCGCAAAGTTTGTAGATAAGGTCTAAGTATTTATTCCTTTCAGGAAGTCATAAAAGTGTTAAGCTTCCAATAACAACTTCCATTTAAATGTAAAACAAAATAAATTTGAGTGATAATAAAACCATTTCTGTCTTTAGTCCACCAAAAACATTTTTATTATGAAATTCGACAATCCTACCTTAAAAGGTATCAAGAATATATTAAAATATTTCGCTAAGATAAAAAGTTAGACAAATATATGAGAAAAAAAACGGCAAAAGTGTGATTAAGGTGTCAACTGATTGCATAATAAAACTTGATTTTAAAACGTTTTCGCCTAATATGTCAACCGTGTTCTCTGTTGTCAAAGATTGATTTTTCAACACCATGTTTGAGTGGGATTTATTGAATGTGCAACCTTCTTCCATTGTTCTCATACTACGATCAAATTCGAGAAAATAAAACAATTGAAAGTATCCGAGATCCAAGAAAGAATTTCATGGAAAATTATTTGATTTGATTTGATTTTCTACTTGAATGTGCTTGGCATGTAAAAAATGTAGAAAATTAAAGAACATTTCATTTCATTCTCTTTCGTTATCTTGATAACAAGCTTAGACAAATAATGGCTTAACTTTTGCTACAGGGTGAGAAGAAAAAAAACTTTTGTCATATCCTCCAGGAAATAAGGAAAAACTCGGAATAATCTTTCTTTTTGTGAAAATGGTTATATCTAGGAAGTAAGCATAATATATTTTCCCTTAATATGGTGACTTATAACAGAAAGTCGACGAAAATTTGCATTTCTCTACGGAACAATCTCTAGACAATTCGTAATCTAACATCCATCTCAAACAAATATTAAGTCCAACTTAATGAGCTTTAACTTTTTATGTTTGACTACGTAATTTTAACAATAGAGAGTAGAAATGTTTAACACTCAAAACATTTCCAGAAACCATAATCTTTTAATTAAGAACAAAATGAGAAATGAGTCTATACAAAATTAAATGAATAATTTCTTCATTAAAAAAATGCAGTTTTCAGAAATTAGAACAACATCCAATCTAATTTAATTAGTGATTTCATGCAAGAATGAAAGAAAAAAATCCTCAGAGATGATAATTAAAAGCAACCACCCAAATGTTATCTTTGTAAATATTTGATTCTGTTTGTTTGCTCTGAAACAACAGAAATTATTTAAGATAATCATGAGAACATTATGCAATTGCAAACGTTGATCATTAATTGAAAGTGAAACTATATATTGCAATGAAATGTGAATTTCCAATTAAAACATTCAATAAACTTCAATTGTTCATTCAGAAAGCGATTCAACCTTTTTTAAAGCGATATCGCTGAAAGATTTAACAAAAGCTTCGATAAAATCAATAATTCATGGTTTCGTTCCTAACAATGGATGTAATCAGAGCTAGTAGTTGCTTGAAATTCCTGGAAATGCAGGGAAATAATGTAGGCTGGGAACTACATTTAAACTTTACCAGCTATTCAATGAATTAAAAGTGCATTTATGAATAATTCTAATTGAAAATTCCATCTAGTTTCAGCACCTGAATGTCAATAAAGTTTCTCAATTTTATTTATAAACATCTAGATGGTTGCTATAAATAAAAACTGTGATATTTCAATTTATCTTAATGACTAAAGCTTTTTTGAAATCCATTTCCTATTGTCAATTTTAATTGATATCAATAATTCTATTACGAAATGCTGGAGAAACAAAAAATCGTTAGAAAAGCAATTGAATTTCATCATGCACATTTATTGTTACCTAAAGTCAATAAAAATGGTAGAATATGTTGGCAGGTCGGGTAAACTGTTGCTTCTAACTTTTTTGTTGGGTTCAGTTACTTTTGAATGTTGATCTTGTACACGTTACAAAAACTTCTCTCAGTCATCCTAAAAATATTATAAAAATAAAATAAGTTTTTTTTTCGTAAATTGTCAGCATAAAACGTCGAATCAACAAAAAGTTTTAGTTCTCTGATTAACACAAAGCTCAACCCCAGAAAAAAGGCAGGAAAAGAATTGCGGAATTCAAGAAGAGCACATTGGAACATGTCATTTTAGCATGACGACGAGAAGGAGAAAAATAAAAAAGAAAAACGAATTTATTCTGTGATGAGAATATTCACATTTATGATACTAAAAGTGTCATGATACGGTAAAAGCATCTGTTGGGATTATGACAAGGGTTGCTTGAAAAATGTTTAAGTGCCATCATGTGAAGGGGAGAAAATCGCATTTCTTGCTGATTTCAATCGAAATAAAGAAAATTGCAAAGCTCGAGTGAATGAATGTAAAACGTGGTAAAAATGAATGTTATCTCGATTGTCGGTAGCACATACCAAGTAAATATTAACACTTTTGTTGATATGTTAAAACCATTTCCTATGTCTAAAGTATTTGTCATCATGCGTGGTATTTACTGAAAATAAAAAACTTTCACTTCAAATTTAATTTTTAACTCATCTTCCCTTGTTGTTGGCAAAGGAGAAATTTTTTAAGTTGCTCAGTTTTTTGATTGTTTGACGTGAAATCTCATTATTGACTTTATGGATTGAAGCATCGTTTTAATTGATTTCTGCTGTCTATCAAATATTTTCTCATTCAACTGATTATTCATTTCCATCAATGCAGACATTTCAGAGTGAGAGTAACATGAAGGGGTGGTATGCTGAAGCTTCCTGATTTCATTCATAGTACACAACGTCATCTATTTTATTTCTATAACAATATGAGATGAAAAAGTTTTTAATCTAATTTCGATTAGAACTCTCGTGTTGAATATGACATAAGACAAAAGAAATTTAATCAAGACAAGAATAAAGCAAATGCGAAATCAAGTTAAGCATTTGATAGAACTTTCTATCACCACGATGCTTTTTGATGTGATGTGGAAACAGAGCAAGTCGATGTTATGTGTCTCCTACCTTGATGCATACAACTATCATAAATATAATTCCTTTCCATGGAAACATAAAAGAAGAAGAGAAGCGATAAAAACAAATTTCGATTTTGTCTTTATTGCAAGCGCTCCTTACATTCAATCCTTTGATTTGCTTTTGATACGTGACGCAAAATGAGATTATATTTGAGGTTGTCTGTTTCAAAGTCAGACAAATATTTTTTAAAATTCCCTTTTCCCTGGTTTTTCAAAACCAAGGGATTTTGAGAACCTCTAATAAATTGAACTTATGAAAGTCAATTCTCATCATTGGATCGGATAAGTAGAAATTTGTGAGATGATCTAGAAACTTTAAAATCTATAAAACTTCCACTTATGCTGGTGCTTCCCGATCAGAAACCAACAACATTGACATACAAAGTTAGTCTACCTGTGGCTTATTTATTTACGCCAACTTAACATTAGATTGATTGAAAAACTCTAAATTGAAAAAAGTTACAGTAACTCGTTTTCCCTTGACGAAGACTTTGATGTTTTTATTTGTAAGGAATTAGACGAAGAACTTCCATTGCTATTTATTTAATTTTCCCAGAAAAAGAAAAAGTTTCTTTTTCACATTCGTACATCAGAGAATCATGGAAGAAAAGTGGAAGAAAAGCAAAAGTTTTTTCAAATCTAACATTAAATGCCTACCTGAATGTTACATTACAACAGTTGCTAACAGTCACAATAAAAACGTGCCGGAAGGAAATATCAAAACCAAACCTTGGAAACAATTTCATGTCATAAAATCTCAGATCATTAAGCGATGTAAAAAGAGCAGCAGAAACTTGAGATGATTTGTAACTCAATGGAGAAAACATTTCAAGGTCTCTTCTAGAAATTTATATTTCATGTTTACGTTTCACAACATCCGTAAAGAAAATTGTTGGACCATGATTTTCTTTTATCATTGAAAATTGTTTTCTATAGAATGAAAATTTCGGTGAACAAATGACTCATGATTTCCTTTCCCTTTTATTTTATATTTTTGTAGAGAGCTTCAAAACGCTAGTGGAGAATGGATGAACAGTGAAGCAACAAGAACACCACCTAGAAGAGGATCCATCACTCAAGGGTTCATTCCAACTTCCGACATAATAAGGAAGAGCATAAGCAGGTCTTGGACGATATCAAGTAGGCTTAAAATGAAAATAAACATAAATTGTTTTTATTTCTTTATTTATTATTTAAATTTTCAGATCCCGAAGACGATCAGCCGAATGCTAAAAACGGAATTGACCCAAGACTTCACGTTCAAAGTTTAGGCTCTTCAATTCATCATCAAGAGACTAACAGTTACCCAAATTTAATTCGAATAAATAAATCACCTTACAATAGCAACATGGATTTTATTAATTCTGAAAGTTACGAAAGGATATCATCGCCATCTCAAAGAAGAGTTTTAAGACAGTCGACATTACCTAATCCCGATTTGTCATATCCAAACAGCAATTTGAAACTTCCTGTTTCCCCAAAGCAGCAATTGAGCCCCCAGTACAGCCCATATCACACAGATAATGAAAACGAACCTGAAAGCGAATTACCAGCTCCGACGCAACCAATGCGATATAAAATACGAAGACAATCAACGCTCCCATGTAAGCCCAATGACTCGTCAAAATATCTTTCAACATCACCAAATCGCACTTATAGTCGGTCACCAGATCCAAGTGCGATTGAAGGCGAACATAGTTCACGCTTTCCCCCTTTTGTGCGTCAATCAACATTCCCATCGAACAATGGCGGTGATCAATTTCATTCACGTCAATTACCAACATCTCCGAATCGTTTAAATTACAGTAAATCACCAGATAGTAGCGGTGAGAATGGTCATGTGTCACCGCGAAGATTTATGCGACAAACAACATTGCCTAATCCAGATCAACACATTAAACTTTTACCAACATCACCACCAAAAAAATCGCCACAATTTATGAAACGTTCACCCGAATTTCAACGGCAAAACACGATCTCAAATCCCGAAGGCATGAATACACTTTCTGTTCACCAGCACGCTCCTAAATTTCTTCCAATTTCCCCGCGACAAAAGCAAAGCTTTCTTTTTCCACTACCCTCTAATGCACCACGAACCTTTCTTTCACAACAACACTTTCCAACGATGAATGAAGATCAGCCACCACCAACGAACCATGTGATTCGTGAACATTCGAAAATGATAAAAGTAAGAAGTCACAGCAATGAAGAATATAGTTTCAATAAATCTCATGTTCCACCGCAGCCAACAGAAGGACGTCGTTTGTTGCCTGAAATTCCTAATCGAGCTCGTTCGCCAAGTCGACTTGTACGACAAGATCATGTGAAAGATGAGGGAGGTGAGAAGAGGTCACCGATAATGAAAACGTTTGCTGAAGCTAAACAAACATTGAATGAAGATTACGAAGCACAAAATCAAGTTTATGAAACGCAATATACAAATGAGTATAGCGAACTTAACTCAACATTTGCTGAAGCTGATGAGAATAATTACAATGATCAACAAGAGTATGCTAGTTATGAAAACGTACAACTAAATGTGCAAGTTGACATGACTGGTACAAACAATATGATTCAATACGTAGCTGAACAAACTGTTCAATTTCATGAAGGTGAACCCCGTCGATATGAGTTTGATTCACCACGCAACAAAATCCCACATGCACTTCAAAGTGCTGAAAGTTATATAAACGATTCACCATCTGAATATTATACACCCGATGAGTACATTAAACAAGCTCAGAAAAATCGTAATCGTCGAAGGAAATCACGAGAACTTCCAGCAGATCCGGAAGTTATAGCTTTATCATCAACAGATGACGAATCAAGGAAACATAAGCCGGAAGCAATGAGATCTGTTTCTGAAGATTCTTCGCCGAAAACAATTAAAATTCTGCCTCGTCGATCTTTCTCACAGCCTGAAAAAGAAACACAAAAGAAAATTGAACCGATAAAAATTCCTTCCCCGAAAGAATTAATTCAAAAATCATTAGAAAAGCCAAAAACTGACATGGTCGAAAAAGCAGCACCTAAAAAACCCGTCTATAAATTCCCCAAAATGCTTGAAATGAGAGGCGATTCGAAAAGCTTTGATACTGTTGTTCGCCAACTAATTAAAAATGATAACAAGGATGGAGACGACAAGTCCCAATCGATGGATGATAATCTCTTCAGTGAAAAGAAGGAGGTACTTGAAAATCGATACCCAAACATTTATTTTTCTTTCCCTCTTTGTCTTTCCGCCCCCCATCTTCTATCTTCTGTTCTATCTCGCTCGACGTGTTTCAATTTACATAAATTTTCATTTTCATTTAGCACAAAACAACATTGAATGAAGCTGAAATTCAGAACGCTGTTGAGCAAGCGGCTGGTTTATTTAAAAAGGTCGTTCTGCAGCGACGAAAGGAAAGAAAGCCAGCTGATGAAGGTGAGTTTCATTTTCTTTATGATTCTACAGAGAATTGGAATTATCTAGATACTAATAGTTGTTAGAATTAACACGACGAAGCACACCGAAAAAGCACATAAAACTATCATTTCATTGCCATGTATGTACAAGCTAACACATATCTTCCCTTTGTTTATTTTTAACTGACTAACAAATTTTAATAACAAAACTTTCTCTCTAAGCAAAGCTTTCTGAAATAATAATATGAGAATGTCTGTGACATTAAGACACATGCTGTGCATTGTTGGTACGTTATTCAGGACATAATTTAGATGACAGCGATCATTAGTTGGAAAATTATTCTCTCCCTAGTTGTAAAACTTAAAATATGAATTTCTTAAAAGTTGAACTTTTCTTTGAACATTTTAAAGTTTAAACTTTTAAAGCGATAACAAAGTTTATCGACACGTGCCTTTGGGAAATTTATTTCATGTCTAAACTAGACCGCACTATGATTTCATAAAAGTTAGGTGAATTTTACGGTTATTTTCTCATGAATTATGTTCAAGTAATTTTTCAGATTTTACGTTCGAATTCAAGCATTTGTTTTATATGTTTATCATTCGAGTTAAATAAATAATAATCGTAGATATATGTTTGTGAAAAATGAAGCCGAGATGCCACGCGCGTCGAGTAATGTTAACAAATTCATCTCGCTTCATGTATCTCATATGGCAAAATAACATCAAAAAATATAAACACATGATATAAATACTGATATCCCAAACGTGATACTGCTTCTAAAGCTATTTATAGCAAATAAAAAGCTTTTCTATCGAAACACTTGCGTTCGATGCGAACATATTCATCATTGAAACGTTTTCGACGCGTAAACTTCCGATGAAAATAAACAAACTTGTGTATGCCTGATTTTATGAGGAATAAAGATAAAAATGCAGAAAAGCTCGCGGAGCTTTAAGCAACAGTTAAGCCATTGATCGTGTTAGTAAAACCTTATAAATGTTAGCATAATTCAAGCCTCAATAAAACTTTTTTTCCACTAAACTTTATCATCATATTCAAACAAGTTGTGTGAAAACGAAAACCTAGCGTGGTGCTTTTGTAAAATGAAACATCTTCGTTGTTAAATTATTAAACTTTCATAACTCAACTTTATTATGTTGTTTTCTTGTTTTCACAGCTACATTTGCTGTCTACTTATTTTCATGTATAAAATTTAAGTCAAAATTTCTCTTGCAACTGAGAAGCTTCTTTATAGATAAATTATTAATTTTTTTTTAGAAATCATGAGTTTATGTTTTTCACGACTTTATACATATGTATGTTGGTACGTGGTGTGGATGCTAGAATAAAAAATTAGAACCGTCGACTACGAATGAAGCCGCGCTTATGAAAATCCATAAATAGTGATGCGAATATCCAAAAGCGATACAGCGACTGATGGAGTTATTTATTATTCAGAGAACAATACAACATCACGTCAAAAGCGAAGCAAAAAAAAAAGACAGCACGTTTCCTTGCACCGGAAAATATTTTTTTTACCATTACAGTAGAATAAGAAATCAATCGATAAATACTTAATTTTTGTTTTCTTTTGTGTATGATGAAACAAAAATTTATTTATTCGTCCATCGTTCTCTTAATGTTTTATCAAAAAGCAAAAAATAAAAAATAAAAAAGGAGATCGGAGGAGAGTTGCACAATGTTTAGATGGAGACGACGTCGTAATATTAATTTATGTGGGATTAATAAAAACGTTGTTTACCATCTTTTTATGATAAAATTTGGAGTTTTCATGGCTGAAGCCAATTTCATAGATCTACCAATCACAAGTTATTAAGTTGAGAAGAATCCGAAAGTAACATGAATTTTTGATAAGTAAAATAGCATATCGTTTTAATGGTTCGAATTTTCGGTCAACAATAAGTAATAGAGAGAAAAGAAAAGCTAAATGTGAATTATTCATCCTACATAAGAAATCTTAAGCTCTGCTGTTCATACACAAAAGCGGCGGTCGATCCACATACAATTCTTAATTAAAAGTAATTATTAATAGAGTTCGATCTCATTTAATCGATGGCCGATATTAATTTTATTACGTTTCTCTTTCTTCTTCTTCTGTTCACATTTTGCTAGACTTTCTTTCAATTAAATTTATCTTTGTATTTAGTAAATGTTACTTAGCATCTTTCTTAAGAAATTTGTTTTTCTTTTCTTCTTCGTTTTTCTTTGTAACATTCTCGGATTGTCTAATTAAATGAGTAAAATTTTACAATTTGTATTGAATTAATCGGAATTAAAGAAAATGTTTGATTGCCTCATAAATAAATCTTTTTTGTTATTGTAAGCTACTTTTGATTTTTTTCAAAATGAATAGAGTTCAAAACATGTTCTCGTTTGCGATACCGCTGATTTGTTAATCATTCATTAATTTATGGCTTTGATATTACTTAACAGCTGAAAAGATTTTAAAATCAATCGCGTGGTTTTTTTAACTCATTTTAATATTTTTTATCACAAAAGTTTTTAACAAAATAATTAAACTAATAAAGGAGGAAAATTTGCAACAAGCAAGTGGTAAAAATTCAGCAAAAACAAGCAACCACTGAGCATTTTTGTGCTTCTAATGCTTAAAGATTTCAGACAAAAAGCTTCATTTTATTTATCAGACTGAACAAAACCATATACTCGTAAAAATATAATAAACTCAAGTTTTGTTCTTCACTCGGTTAATACATTGTTGTTCTTATTGGTTTGATTAAATATAAAAATTAATTAAATTTAATCGCTTTTTCATTCGCACAATTAAATATTGATGAACGTGTGGGAAACGATAAATTTAAGTTCGTTATTAATTCTTCGACTTCACTCTTCCAATAATGGTTTTTCACTGCCATGAGCTTGCCGCAAAACATATTTTTCCAGCTGAAATTTCAAATCCATTGATCTCTTAATTAAATTAATTAAATCAATTAAAACGTTCTTAGTTTGAAAAAGCGAAACTGAATTGAATCTAAACAACGGATAAGACAAATGAAAAATGTTAAAACAATACAAGCTTCACACTTAAACAATATTGTAGTCTGAAATATTTGGCGAATGATCAAAAAAAAAACACAGAACAATACCAAAGAAAAATAGCTAAAAAAGTTTTATTTCGTCTGCATGACTAATGATGATTGAAATGCATTTTCTATTTAAATTGATTGTTAAGCTTAAACGTGACGACTCGTTCACGGAATTGATTCTAAATGAAGCATTTAAGCTTCAAAGTTAAACCCAACTGAAAAACCATTTTCTGACCAATTTTCTCGAACTCGTAAAAACCCTCAGAGATGCACCGAATTTGTCTAACAAAATTTTAACAATTCATCTGATAGAATTCAAGGGTTTGTACGTGCTTCATAAATTTCAATTGAATTCATTTCATGTTGTTTTGAGCATCATTTTCTGAAGTTTGAATAAATTTATTTTACTGTAACATGATGGACTTTGTATTTCTTTTTCAACCAGTACTCAGATCGCAGTTTCATTTAATTTTCAACTGGATTGTATAACAAAAGTTAAATAGCTATAACCACCACATGTTTCTTAAAATATGAAATGTCAAAATTATTCAGTTTTAACATTTCTGAATATGTAATTAAGCCGTATGAACGAATAAATAATTGCATTTGAAATATTTTGTACATAACGTTTTATCAGCATCAACTCATGTTCTACCTACCCTATGGCAAATGGATTCATTTATATTCTGGTAGATTTAATTTTACGCTTTTTCCTTCTTCGACTCTCGCATGGGAAAATTCATACGAGAAGTTTTTTCATTAAATTTCAATTTTCTAAATGTAGAGTGATTGTAAAGCCTGTAAGAAAATTCTCGAATATTATTCTCAATAATTGTGATTGCCTTTGGGAATTTCCTCAATTCCATCGTCACCGACATAAGTCTCTTTATAAGTACAATCTGGTGTAGAAAAGCACGAACTGTTGATATCTTCAATTGGTTATTATGGCAACGAGAAAAGTCTTGTTTACTAACAAAGTAATAAAGCATGTTACCATGTTACTAACCAAACATAACTTGATGCTTACGATAACTGTAAAAACAGAAGCTAGAAGAAATATATTTTTAACATCTTGGTGAAGGTTCTTGAAGTAAACAAGTAATATAAAAGATATCTGATGTTAAACAGTGCATTAAATCCAATAAATTTTCAAGGTGAAATGACCGGAAAGCGAGATGAATCGACGGAGAATGAAATGAAATATTCCTACTCGACCGATGTTGAAGATTATAAATTGGTTTTCATCTCATCTGCTGATTCATCAGGAAGGGAAGATGACAATGATGATACTAGTTCAACATCATCTTCTGTTGCTACCAAATGCAGTATCGTTTTCGATGAATGCGATTGGGATTACTTTGAACCAAATGCAACAAATACGAGAAGTAACTTGAAAGATATCACTTCATCATCATCATTCTCTCCATTTGGATCACCGAGTTTATATCGACGATGTGTTAATACAAGTCCCATGAGTAGTCCACTTTTTTATCGTCGTGGAATGTCTGAGTCTCCATTATCAGTTAGGAAAAGCGATACTGGAACTGATGATGAAATAAGAAATATTGAAAGCTCATCACCAACGTCGTCCGAAGGTTTTATGCCAGAATATCTTAAGGCATGGAAAAAGAACCATAAATGTAAAGATAAAAAGCATGCTTGTAAATGTGGACCACATTATGTTGCAATTCCTGTACCCATTTTAGTACCAATGGATACATTCCAAAATTGGAATAGTAACAACAATTCTGATCTACTTCAAATGTTCAACACATCATCGAACTTACTCTACCAACACGATAACAAATCTGACGTCATAAATTCTTCGCCGATATCTCAACATCATTCGTCTCAACAAAAACAACAACAGCAGCAGCAGGTATTAAATTTACCTGATGGCGAAGAGAAAGAAAAGAAAAGGCAGAAAATTAGCGATGTTTCCATAACGTCCAACATCAGTTGTATTCCAAACGCGCTTCAATCGAGACGCAGTACGAGAAGTATATCGGGTGATA